TGTTATTTTGTTATGACAAAATAAATAAATCACACAAAAAAGCATTTGTCAATGATAATGACACTATGTGTTACCCGTTCGGAAATACTCGCGTTACCCGACACCTCGGAGGCAGCGAAGCTACATAGGAACTCCTTGTTAAGCGCCTGACGAGTGCAAGGTGGTCGGTATCTCTGGGGGGTTTTCCTCTGATTATTCTGCCGCTTCTTTGTAGTCACGGCAGTTGCAGGCAGACGTCGGTTGACGTATTATTTCGGCTACTACTCGTGCGATTACGAGATGAAAAAAAAACTATAAGGCAAAAAAGACAAGTTGACAAGTATTCCGTCATCGATTCAGACCGGTAGCCCATCTTTGGGCTCACTTCCAGACTCGTGTTTTTCACCTCTATACCGATACACGTGTATACATATATATATATATATTTATTATTTTTAATATTATATAAAAAAAATAATAGGAATGAAAAAATTATTTGTACTCATTTTAAGATTGTTAATTTATAAAAATAACTCTGAGAAACGTCATGCGTTTTTTAAAATTGAAAATACCAAAAGACTCGCTGAAAGATTCCCGTCGTGGTTAAAATATTCACAAGACAATAAAGGTCGTTAGATTTATTTATATTATCAAGCATGTTCAAACATCTTCAAGGTTCCGAACTGTCTTATTAGATAGTAATCAATAACGGTACTACTACACGTCAGTGTTCACGTATAAATACTTAGTAAATTACCTGCAATCTCTCTTAAAATTACAACATGATATGCTGATTGTCAGTACTTGACAGTTTTTTTTGGTGCACGCAGTGTAACAATAATATTATGATTGTAGTATTAGTATTCAGAGACGGGTCGAATCCAGTGTGGATATCATCTCCGTTATAATCTTATCGAAACTATGTAGAGCAAATACATTCGAATAGTATCATTTTTCTGTATTTAATGTTTTATTATTTGATATAATATTCGGATGGGTCTATCTGGTTAGTTTTAAAACCATTATTTACACGAGGGATAGAAATGTGTGAACTCATGATCATGTCTATCAGATTGCAAAACATTACAATCGTGTTGTGCTTTAATTCTAAGACATATTTTTTCGCCTTATTTCAGTATATTCAATTAAATTTAAATCGCCAGAATTATTTAAAATAAAAATATTTACATTTAAAACAAATTTTTTTGTCTGTTGATCGGTTCAATGACTTTTTTATATTTTATCTTAATACTTTCTTTTACTTGGTCTTTCATTCTTTTTGTACGTCAAGTTACCCATAAATTTGTGGCTTTTGGGCGAGTGTAAAATTGCAACTTTTGGAAAAATTAATTTGAAACTTACAGTTTACATTTAATCCCCCTTTTCACATAATAATATAATAATAAAAACAAAAAAAATAATATTTCATGTGAGTTTTAATTTAATTTTTCCAAAATTTACTATGTTACACTTATCCCCTTTTGCCTGATCACTACAACAGAAATACTATATACTGTACACGTAACTGTAACTGTAAGAACTGTAACTACAGACTTCAATTTTATTAGTAATTATTAGCGAATGTACAAAAGTAACCACGGCAAAACGAATACGAATAAAATAATAAAGCGTACCTGTAATCACATGAAACTAATAGTAATATTTTTTATTTTAAATTTTACTGTTTTATGTTTAGGTCAATATGAATGTTTATTTGGAACTGTTATCAAGATGTAGCAAGCATAGCATGGTTACTGCCGTAAGATATGCAAAAAAATTAGCAAGAAAATAATATGTTAGAGAAGGTACCGTGAGATAGTTTTTGCGTTAATAACATGGCATTTTTTTGCAATTCAAGCAAATTCCATAGCGTCGGAACTCTGGCTTATTACAACAACAATAGTCACTCTGTTTTAACAAAGCTAAATATATACATATAGATGAAAAAATAACGATTCATTATCTGTATTCCCGGGTTAAAGACACCTTGGCATTAGCCGTAGTAAGATTGTATTTTAATTTGCTACACAAAACGAACAGGTAAGTGTATCATCTCACGTGGTTCAAGACAGTTATCGAATTACAAACTATAACCTACACCACAATAGTGTCATTTAGGAAATACAAACATACTCTCATTTACGTTTCATGTATGCAGCGAAATCACTTGTTTGCTGTATGAATTAAACATCTATTTTGACTATAAGCGTTTTATTTTACCTTGTTATTGTAATCTTAAAGAACGATTGCCATTTCATTGAAAAATTGTTATGTAGCTGTACGATAAGTTATAGATAATGTTCGTATACATTAAGATTTTTAATTGAAAATTTCGTGTTAAAACGAGTTTGTTTGTAAACATAGTAATAGTATAATATAACAGCTAGTAAAACTGTATAATTAAAGTAATAGTTATTAAAAAAAGAAAAATTCTAAATAATTTTGTTTTGTATCAATGATTTAAAATTGATTTTATTTTTAAAATCATGTTTATGTAAAATTAAAAGTTTAGAGGTAAGCGTTAAGAGAATTTGGTATATTTCAATAAAATATGCTGAGGTTAGATTATCTTCGTGGGGTCCATGACACGATTCAAAGAAATTATATAATCTGACAACTAAAAGATGTGGAGGAGTTTAATAAATATGTTATATTCGTTGTTTTTTCATGTTAAACGAGTTGTTGGGGTGTGATTTTTATAAAATATGTTTTCATATATAATTTACAGCAACACATCTCTACGATGTCTTGTTTGAGATATTTTATAAATACACTAACATATCAATAATTTCTATAGTTTTTTCTATTGTAATTATAAATAATAATATATTATTTAAATATAAAAATATGATAAATTTGATAAATTTGATAAATTTGATCATCTTTATTCTAACAAGCTGTTCTTCCTCTAGAGATAATTTTCCGTATACTTATTGTAATAAAAAAATTTTTCTAACAATTATCTTACTGTTAAATATAAACATCAAAACTTAGTTTAAAAATTGTTATAATTTTAAAGTTTTAAGTACAATATATTGAAAATAATTATTGATATTTTTTATATGATTTATAATATTAGGTATTATTATTAATATGATAAAATGTGATAAGTTTTTATAAATATTCAGAATATGCCAACTGATATAATTAATAAATATTATTATAAAGTTTAAATAATTTGTTGTCCATACAACATTTATATTTTCTATCTCTCTCCTAGGGTCTTAGGGTAAATTCATATAGAAATCTTTACGTTCAAGTTTACAAAAATTCGCTAAATTTTAATTATAATAAAATAGTTTTAAAATGTATTATTGTTATTCTAAAATTATAATTTATGTATATTAATTAGAAGTAATAAATTACAATCGATAGTGTTTTCTCAAGTTTATCGGAAAGTAATATAATTTTAAAAATAACCTTGATCACTTAAAAAAAAATAATCCGTAAAAAAATTAATTAATTTAAAACATAACTATATGTACTATTAAGGTAAGTATAAAAATTTGAAATTTTAATTCTTATTCATACTTGTTTCTCTTTAAATAACTTGAAAATTAAAATTTAAAATTGTTTTGATTTTTTTTTAATAAAATATTAAAAAGCAAAATGTTTAAAAAAATTATATCATGGCTCTCTTTAAATTTAAAAATACTCGAAAGCAAACAATAAAAATTGAAAATGTAATACTGCTGTATCAAATAATTTGATCCAACAGTAATGTATTATTTGATAGAACACGTGATACCTTATCTAAAAAAATCTATACAAACTGCAATATTTTGCATGTAATGTTTTTCTTGTGTTGTCTTTTCGTGATCATTTTGAAAAGTACTTTTGACAAATCATTATGTTTTTTTGCATTTATATATTGCAAAATCAAAAATACTTTCGCTAACAACTTACAGAACTAATGATTTAAAAAAATTAGTAATATTTTAAAAATAAATCGTTTCTGATTTGTTCTATTATTAAGTATTACTTTCTGTTTCTACAAATGTTTATAAATGCGCGTATTTGTAAAAAGTTTCTAGTAAAAATAAAAACACTTTTATCATGTTTTCGAATAATAATTAAATTTCCTGATAATAAAACTATGATAGTAAACATCACTAATTTGTTCGCTAATTAAAAGTTATTTTTTTTAGCAATGTTTTGGTTTTATGAGTATTTTAATTAAGAAATAGTGGTTATTATTACATTATGGGATTTTCTCACTGTGAAGCGAACTCGGTGGTATTAGCGAGGTGTTTATGACTCTACGAACAACAATAAAACAGGGCAACACACAAGACAGATAGACACGCAGACAGACTCAATATTATTCGCGTCCCTGTGATGAGTACGTAATACAACTACATCACATAAGTGGTGCGAAAAACACGCAGTGTACACGCGCTTCTGAGTGTGCGACTGTTTTGTATTTATTTTTTCTTCGGTGTCCGATTTCAATTACATCGGGTCTTCCTCGTGCACCCTCCGTCGGCATACCGCACGTTGCATAGCATATGTACCTACTACACACATCCACAATACTCTACTCGACTGTATTATTGTAATTTGTCACCGTCGAGTGGGGTACTGCAGCATCGACAAAAACGGTGGCTACCGAATCTATTGTTGTTCAGTAACACAGGGCTATTGGCAATAGAAAAACTGTGTGTACGGGTAGTAGTTGCCTAACAGTGTTAATAATAACAACTAGAACGATGACAATGACGGACGATTATAAAAATAATGAACCGAGTTCTTGACGTAACTGCTAAAGCCAATATTGGCCATAAAGATTAAATCTTTTCGGAAAGGGTCTAATACTCGTACAAAATTTGTTGCTATATTAGCCGCACAACGTTCTGTGGTCAAACAGAATGCAGTTAATTAGCACATCAACATTTCTGTCGAGGGTTGTACATTTAAATATCAGTTATTAAATGTACTGAATACATTTGCATGTTTTATATTTCAATAATAAAAGATTCAATTTACTGGCAAGTAATGTATTCAATAAAAAATCAATTCAATTAAAAGTCACTCTCTTGTAATAAAAATCATACAAAAGTAAATAACATCTAGTCATCATAGAAAATTACAATAACATTATTAAATATTATCGTTGAATTATTATATCAGTTTTTCTTTGGTTTGTAAGTTGGTAAAAATGGTATATGACTTGTCCATTCCATCCTATTCAAAACAATGAGTCAATAAAAATTTATCAAACCATGTTACTTATGTAACAGTTTTTTATCTACTCACTTTCTTAACAAGTTCATTCCGACGGGGAAATCATACGTGCTCGATTCTTCATTATTAGTTGGTTCATTGGCAAGATTCATTTCTTTTCCCCAAGCAATCAGGCCCCTTTCTTCTGGAGTACCTGTTAGAAGTTTTCAAAGTGAAAAGTTGTTATTGTATCTGTAAGAAAAAAGGTTATTACTAATTTAAATACTTAGGCTTCTAACCTGGTATTGTGTTGTCCAAAAAGAAACCAAGCAAGCCTCCCACAAGAATACTTGTGCTACAAATTACAGTAAAAACGCTGTCTAAAATTTCATTTCCAGTTTGTATGACATTTGGGTTAGCTATGAGCCATTTAGGAAGAACCTATGATAATATATTTAACCGGTGTATGTTATTACATAAAATATAGTTGTATGTTGATTTTTTACTTAAATATTACCAGTGAGAAAAACATTGAAAATCCTATGATGTATAAATTTCTGGAAGAGTTGAGTTGAACGTATTGCAGTGCAGAAAGACCTAAAATTATTCTTCATTAATTACTTTTTTAACATTTAATTAAAAAATGTAAATACAATCAATATTAAATTAATTTACCGAAAGCGCATATCATTCCAAACATAATACAAAACATTCCTCCAACTATAGGCTCTGGAATAATAATAAAAACAGCTCCTAATTTATTCACAACACCTTGGATCAACATTAATCCACTAGCGTATTGGATAACACGTCTGCTTCCAATCTTAAACAAATTAATAATACATAAATTTGGATTCATTTACAATTTGGATGTGAAAATATAACTATAATCTTAATAAAATACTCGGGGTTAAAAATATTAAGCTTGTATTTTCTTAAAAAAAAAAATCCATTTTAATTATAATAAAAGTTTTTTCAAAAAATAACGACACACGTACTTTGGTGACGCCAATAGCTCCAACATTTTCTCCGAAAGTATTTGTTCCGTTTCCACTTCCCCATAGACCGGCAAGCACAGTTCCTAAACCTTCGAATCCAATACCTCTGTTGATGGCATGCACAGGTGGAGGAGGTGCTCCTGTTGATTTTAAGTATGAGTTAATATTGAAATGTTTTACAATAGATTTTTAATGTATACTTACCACACATTTTAGCCGTCGTAGGATAATAACTAATTGATTCCACAGTACAAGCCAAAACTCCAGCTAACATTCCAACAACGCCCGCAACACTGACGGTAGGCCAACCCCATTGACCTTTTTATTTTTATTTCGTACATATTAAATACTTTTTCAGATAACTGAACACTTAATAGAGTAATTATGAACGTATTTCTAAATGTTATTTATTAGCTATACCTGGATACGGAATTCTAAACCAATCAGCGTCTTCTATTATCCTAATCTTTACATCTGTTCTCGCTGGATGACCAACTGGAAAGTAATCGGTTGCCGTTAAAACGGCGCAAATTATCCACATAATTGTAATCGTTAATAGAACCTAGAAAAGAACTACTAGAAAAAAAAAAAAATAACCAATTTGCTACTTAAATTCAACTTACAGGAAAAAGCTGAAATATGTTAAACCATGTGATATGGATACCTTTATAGGAACTGTAAGAAACAATTGGTACTCTTACGTTGGTCAAGAACTGTGAAAACAGCGTCAATAATACAATAGTACTGTAAAAATTAATATTATTATTATCCTCTATATAATCTCGTAATTTTTTTTTTTTTTGTACCCCATAGATATTCCCCAATGTTTGGATGCGGAAGCACCTGCGTTTTCAAATAAAGACAAACCAACTAAAGAAACAGTAGGGACGATTGTCAAGGGGGTCACATACTTGACGATTTTTCCGATAAGACCTAAAAACATATTTCACTTTTAAGCAATAAAATATTGGTAATGATTTTTCGTAATCAGAATTTAACAATTTAGATGCATAATTTTTTTTTTTTTTCTGTGTAACTTACTAATTATAGTTTACCAAAATAAATCATACGTTTAATATAAAAGGTGATTTTTTTGTAAATTACATTTTATTGAATATCTGCACAAAAATCAAATCAAGAAATGATTGCCGGTCATTTCTATTGAATTTTTATGAAAATATTGCTTTGAAAATGAATACATAATTTTTATTATGTCAATAGTGCGGTAGAATTTGTGGGTTTTTACCTCAGATTCGATTTTTATCTTAACAAATTAAAAAAAACAACGCACGCATCTCGTTTTTAAGTTGAAAACTCTTAAAGACCACTATATAAAACTAAAAATAAAACATAGAAATTGCATTTGTTTGAAAAACCTTGGTAAAGTGTCATCCAAGCGGTTTATCGTTATAAAATATATCTAAAAATACACTTGAATTTACGGCCTTACGTCATTATACTAAAATAACTTGAAATTCGATTATGCATTGGATAACATAAACGGTTATTACCTGTGTACCCGATAAACACTTGGAACAATGCCGACACAGCGATTGCGCCTGACAATTCCCTCATGCGGACTTGCCATAGCTCTTCTTGTTCATGTGGACTCATGGCTGTTATAACATCAGCTGCGGGGCAACGCCATCGGGGTAAGTTTAGAATAGCCAAAGTGGGTACAAGAAACGATATGGTGCCACCTTGAACTATAGGTAACCTGAAAATGACACATTTCGTTTGAATCTCTATGCGATGTAATATTGTCAATAAAAATGTGGGGTAAATAGTAGTAAATGCTTTCATTTTTATAATTCAAAATGCTTTTCAAAACTATGCCACGTATTTCGAGGCTTGTTTACGTCGTGAAAATATGAATGTATTTTAGTTTTAATGCAAACCAATAAATATATTAATTTACTGTTTTATTTTTATTAATAAAGATTGACGCCAATAAATGTTTCAAATATCCATTTAACTATTGTGCGTAACAAAATATTTTCAATAAAAGCTTACAAATAATATTTATTTTTCTAATACAAGTTATATAATATTCATCCTCGTTATCCTTTTTTGTTTATTATTTTTTTTATTAATTTATAAATAGTGGTGGTTAAAAAAATTTACCTTGGTGGCGTCGAGGGGTCGCTTCGTTGCCTCTCAAAATTAGTATGAAAATATTTTTGGTCGATTAACTTAAAAGTGAGTTCGGATTAAACAGCATATATTATTCAGTTTTATAAGAGTCAAATACTTAATAAATTATTTATTATATCAAACTTCTATTAGCTTCGATGCGAAGCGGAGAAGGTATTAATTTTACTATGATGTGTTTTTTTTTTGTNTTTTTTTTGTGTCTGTCACTACTTTTTCTCAGCTCTCACTGGACCGATTTCTTTTAACAATACGTCAAAAGATCACAAATTGTATCTAGTTGAAGACATTACCCTTAAAAATTGAAAAAAATTCCCTCGTTCCCCGCAAATGGGGGAAATATCCAAAAAAATTACAAATTTAAAAATCGCTAATTTTCGAAATTTTTTCACTTTTTTTTCTTAAAACTTCCATAACTTTTTGAAAAATCAACAAATCAACATAATTTTTTTTATACTAGAACCTTAGAAATCTACCTTTCATTTGATATCATTTTTTTGAAAATCTATCACTTAACCTGCTCATTAGGAGTGATTTAAAATAGCAACTTTTTTACAAAAATTAACTTTTTCAACTTAATTTTTGAAAATGTTCCGGAAATACTGCGTCCTTCAAACATATATCAAATTAAAGCTTATTTTATGTACTATAAAATGAAAAAAAAAAATTTGTCCCGACACTTTATCTTCTGCATGTAAACGGCTGCCGTAGTTAAAAAAACGCTATTTTTGTGTTAAAATTTTCGAATTTCGATTTTAAATATTCAACTTAAAAGTGCTATAACTTTTCGAAAAATGTAATTATCAGCACAAATTTTTATTTCTAAATACATTATAAGAACATCTTTCATTTGACATACTTTTTATTAAAATTGGACAAATTTCCCTTATATAGGGGGCGTTCAAAACTTGAAATATTGTAAAAAACATAGATCTTTTTCAACTGAACTTTTGAAAATGTTCCGGGAATACTGCGTCCTTTAATCATATATCAAATCAAAGGTTATGTTATATACTATCAAATGAAAAAAAAAATTTGTCCCAACAACCTATCTACTATGTGCAAATTGCTGTCGAAATTAAAAAAAAAAAGGAATATTTGCGATAAGAATCACCTTCTATAAGGATGTTTTTTGTACTTAAAACTTTANAATTACCTTTTATCGGGATGTTTTTTGTACTTAAAACTGCCATAACTTTTTCAAAAATGAACAAATAAAAATAATATTTTTTTGTATTGAAACCTTAGATATTTCCCTTTCATTTGATATAATTTTTTTTGAAAATCTAACACTTATTCTGCTCACTGGGGCGATTTAAAATAGTAATTTTTTTACAAAAAATAACTTTTTCAACTTAATTTTCGAAAATGTTCCTGAAATACTGCGTCCTTTAAACATATATAAAATTAAAGCTTATTTCATGTACTACAAAATGAAAAAAAAAAATTTGTCCCGACGACCTATCTTCTATACGCAAATGGCTGCCGTATTCAAAAATATGCTATTTTTGTATTAAAATTATAGGTTTTGTATTTTATTTTAATAGAAGTTGATGTTGATTTTATTATCCATCAATTTTTTAAAATTAAACACTATCTACAGATTTGCATCGAAGCGTTTCTTATGATAGTGATTTTAATCACTTTCAGATTAAATCTATACTGGACCTAACTATGTAATGTCTCCAATATGCCGCGACCCCACTGTGCTACCGTTTTTTTTTTTTTTTACTATCGGCTACTTGAAATTAGACGGATATTTCTGACCATTACACAAAAATTACCATATATGCGATAGAGAGCACTGTGCAATTAGTTACTTATTTGTGTCAGTTACAATTAATTTAAATAATTTTACAGAGAAAATTATCATATACTTAAATAAATAACAATATGTATGTTCGTTAAAACATTCCGAATCTATTTCATTTGTTCGTGAAAATTTATATTCTAATCTTGTTCAAATAATTTTTAAACTTAATGCTAAGTTTAATTATTTTCAATATCAACATTTTTCGATTGAGCTTAAATTTGGATATTAGTTTATCTATTCATAAATTTCATCAATTTGCTAGATTTTGGAATATTTATATTTTAATTGACTGTTCGGTCGATTTATATATTTTTATAATTATACAATAGTATATATATATTTACCTACAACCAAATGTAACTTGAGTAAAAGTGACTATAGCAGTGACGAATATCATTGTAGATATTATGTGTCCTCGAGCAGGATCATCTTCTCTCATACATAACGCCGGTGTCAGAATGAATGGTATTGACACTATTGCACCGATCATTGTGAGATAATGCTAGAAAAAAATATCAATTAGTAATAAATTAAATATTAAATACGTAACATAATATTTTTCCTCGTTTTGTGTCATATTAGCTTTAGAATTAACTACTAAATTAATAGAAAAGCCAAAAAAAACAGTTAATATTAAAAAGATAATTGGTGGTTACAATCATTAAAAAAAAAATCTGTCTTTAAAATATCTATAAAAGTCAATTTTTTTCGTTTTCTATGAATTGAGCACACGTAGTATGTGAAGAATTGATCATATTGCTTACTTTTCTGTGTGTATCACGTGAATGACCAATAACATGTACTTAGGGAGGGTTATGAACTAAAAATTATACCTCTCAAAATAACGAACATCCATAATTTTTCGTGAAATTCAATCAAAATACTTCTCGATAATAATAATAGTAATAGTAATACTATATTTCTATTTGCCTTTACCTAAATAACCACGGAAAAAATCTTAAACATCAACAGTAGGATTATCGAAATATTGAAAATGTTTGAAAAACTTATAATAACGAGTATTTCACTTAAGATTTTTGAAAAATATAAAACTACAGACAATTAGAATTATTGTATAATTCTAAAAGCACGAAAATTTAAAAAATATACTAATGCAAAGTCACTTGAGTAGAGCAATATTCATTAAATTTGCAAAAAGAAATACATGGTTAAAACTAAATTGTAGTTTTATTGTATACTTAAAAAAAAAAAATTACCTGTAAAGCCATGAATATACATAAGTACCATGGTGGATTATCATCTATACCGTACGTTATTGTAAGTCCATTATTGGTATCTTCTGTTTTGTTATTAACATCATTTTGTGGAGGTAAAGATGTTAAATCGATATGCTTGCAAAAATAGACATTTGTAGATTATTAATATAATCAAATTAAATTTTCAGGGGATAGCATGACTTGTTTGTCTAAATAGAAAATGTATTACGTTGTTTTGGTGATATATTTTTACCCTTGTGAATATTTAAAAACTTAAATACAAATAGTTCTCCATTTAGAAACCACTTTAATATATAATTAAAATTGTAATAACAATGTAACACAATATTTTTTAATTAATCCATTGATAATACAATTTTAGTTAAAAATTTATTTTTAAAGAACTTTGACTTTGATGAAAATTCATACAATTTTAAACTTACAGTCATATTGATTTGATCTGAACCATTTAAATCGGTGGCAGAGACCATTGCTGTTAGGGTTCCACGGCGCTGCAATAACATAAAATGATACTATTAAAAAATCGAAGAAACTTATAAATAACTTATATAAGTGTATTCACATAATATATGTATATATTTTTTTATTAGCTAATTGATTTTTGTCACGTGGGATACAGTTAAGCAGGTAAATATTTGCAAATTATTGTCGCTATCTTATCTGGTGACACGATATTCGTTACTTTCAAGTTTTACATTAGATACGAAATTGTTAACACAATTCCTTTGGTCATTACATTTTACACGTGCAATAAATTTAGATGGGAATATCGTATCAAGTGTTCGAGAGTATTTGCAAGTTCTTGAAAACGTTTACCAGAATTTGCAAGTGCCGCATATATGTTACGAACTAGATGTTTAGTGTAAGCTGTGTCATACAACACGAGTATGTGTGTGGCGCATTAAGAGGCTCATCGATAAATTCCCAAATGTATTTATTGTACTATAAAGAGGAGGCAGTGTATTCGTGAAACAAGGAGCTCAGTACATAATTTGCATTACCGTAACGCGGTGCCGTATTGCTGACAATGTGATAAAATAAAAAGCACCAAGCTTACCTATAGTCACCGTGTGACGTTGTCCCATTGCGCATATTATAGTCTTGCGATGTGTGCAATAGGTCAAGCTTAAATTAAATTTGGCTAAATTTGACTCTGGGTAAAATTAATAAAATCCTCTACGCGTAAAAGTTTATTAACGTGCAATTTAAACTGTTATCGGCAGTTGACATAATTTTATCGGTGCCGATCGCGCGTTGTAGAATTTCAAGTATACAACCGCCGACTAAACGTCGCGCTACCACTAGAATAGATTTCAGAAATTACAACTAATCCTTCTGAAGCCCTGGTACAGTTTTTAAATTTTTCGCTATTTATCGCGTAAATGTACACAGCTACAATCTATGGCGGCAGACAGTAAATCAACAGCACAACTTCTAAATTCCTGGTCCTGTTTTTCCAACTTTTTTTTTTTATGTTTTCAATATTCACCGCTACGATTTGACAATTATGTTGCATATACAAAACGCCTAACTTTATTAACTCGAATGTTCTTATATAGCATAATTTAATATAAATAAATAATTTTATTGGTCGGTTAAAACACGGTTGTGGTATTTAAATTTATAAACTACTAATTGTAAAATATTTTTATAAATTATATTTAAAACACTATAATTAAATTTCGGAAGTAGTTTTTCTGCCAAAGAAAAAAACGTACATTTTCAGTAAGAATTTATTTTTATAATTTTATACATTAAAAAATATTTCTATTACAAATACTATATTGACTATCTAACGGAAATTTTATTTAGAAGATTTGCTTCTCTTGTGTGTCATTCAATTAGACAAATGAGTTATGTTTTATATTTTAAATAAAAAACACTTGATTAACGTTTTAAAATCTTCATTTTTAATTAGTATTAAAATTATTAGTTTATAAATGAATACATATTATTGTTATGTTCTCTTACCAACAAAATTCTTATGGTATAAATAATATGTATTGTTTATTATTGATGTTGTTTTTGCCGGATAAAATTTGTTTTTAAATCAAATTAAAAGTAGTATTAGTTTAAATGAAGGTGTCAGTAGAAAAATATGGCAGCTTGAATATTTATCATCTTATTTTTAAGTGATATTTTATTTAGAAAATAAATTACGATAACTTTTAACCAAGAACGAGAAATTTTAAACATTTACGACGAAAGTAATAAATTTTGTTATGTTATTATTTGTTAAGCTTTCATACAAAATTTAATTCATATGATTAAATTTATTCAAAATTTAATTATCATACGAAAGAGATACTAATTATATTTGGTTTTGCAATAATCGCTTAGTGTCATACGATTTACTTCCGTCCAGCTTCCTCTTTTTGTGCTTTTGTAGCCAATCTAAATGCAAAAAAAAATGTTGCTAAATATTAAATATATTATAAAAATTATAAACGGATGTAGCCACTACTTAAAAATATGGTTTCAGAACTCAAAATATTTTATAAAAATATCAAAATCTAACCGAAATAAAAATAAAAAAAATCGATATTTAATCATTTAATGCTGGCGCAAATGAGCGTTTTTGACAAAACTTTCTTAAATAATTTTCTTAGAATAACGTTGTTGAGTTTTTCATTTAATGAAAAAAATTTTGAAAATCGGACATCGTTAATTAATTTTGGCTAATTTTTCAATGTTTTATTATAATGAGTGTTCAGTAAGTAAAGAAACCGATCAATTATTACAAACAATAATTACCCGTTTCCTTACTTACTGAACATCTATATAATAATATGATTGGGGGTAAGTTTTTAACGCTCATAGTGGCTGGAATTTCGATCCGATTTTAGATTTTTCTACCTTTCCGATAGAATACAGATTACAGTGATATAATTACCTCATCTAAATCAATTAATTGTATGTTGATATCTGTTAATCTTTCACAACACTTATTTGATTTTGAAATAGGTTCTGTGCAATTTGTAGAATATGAGCTTCTAGTGATTAATTTTGAATAATTTTCAACTTGATTATCATTTGTATTATTATTTATTAAATGATCTTGATTATTTATGTTGACAACGTTATTATTTTGTAATTTATCAGCTTGTCCACTTTTTGTTATTTTATCGTCTAAACCATTTAGGTTCTCGTTGATTTTAGTAGCTTCTCTGGTTTGAATATTAGTACGTGTTTCAGATGGTGAATTATTTGTATCGTTTTCCTGGTTTTTCAGATTTAAATTATTATTGTTGATGCTGAATGTGGGATTACTTCTTGATGTAGTTTGATGATCGATAAAGGCATCATTGTCTTGTTGTTCTGTCACACTATTATTTTCTTGATATGCTTTCAAATTAGTATTAAAACCTATCAATAAATTTTGAGCATTAAAGTCTTCTTTATTAGTTATATCTTCTTTTATATTTTGACTTGTATTTGATAGATAATTATTGTTAGTTTTATTCGACTGTTCGTCATTGTTTTTTAATGTCACATTATTATCATTTTTTTTTACTATTTTATCCATTGAGTTTATTAGATTTTCATTTTGGGCGTTTATATTATTATTAATACTTTTTAAAGTCTTGGAGGTTGGAGGATCTTTTTCAAGATTAATTGGAATAGTATTTTCTATTTTCCGATTAATTTTTCCTCCTGTAACATTTTGTTTATTATCAAATTTATCGTAAGATCCTTGTAATTGTCGGTATTGTTTGTTATATAGCTCGTTATTTTCTTTTCTGTCTTCATCTTCTTTTGAAGTATTAAGTTTATTAACAAATTCCTTCCTATATTTGTTTGCATGAGAATCAATATTATGCTGTTTATCCAATTTTTTGCTATTTTTATTACTTTCACCTTGTTTCACTAAAGAATTTTTATTATCATCATCAAGTAAACTAGAATGAACATTTTTGTGATTAATTTTTAGGTTTTTATCTTTATTTTTCTTTATAAAATTAAGTTTTGAACTTGCTCTATTATCATTATTTTTCCCTCGCGATTCAATTTTTTGCTGATTATTTGAGTTACTATTAATTTTTCCAACGCCAATTTTATCTGATGGATTTTGCTTATCACTTTTTTTATTATTTGTTTTATGTACTTCAATTTTGACTTTTTTATTAATTGTTTTATCGTCAATCCTATTAATATTATTTTTTGAATTTTTTCGTTTATAGTCTAAATTTTTATCATCATTTATTCCTCGAGACTCATTATTTGTTTGTTCATTTGAATTAATATTTATTTTTCCACCGTCATATTTTTCTGAAGACTTCAGATTATTAATTTTATGTTTGCTGTTAGAAAGTCCTTGTGGTTGGAGATTTTGTTGTGCAAGTTGTCGTTCTTGTGTCTTTTTATCATAATTTTTTCCAGAAAAATTTTGTTTATTCAAAAATTTTTTGCCATCATTGGTATCACGTGATAAAAGGTTTCGTCTTTTGTCTTGAACTATTGCCTTTGCGTCAGTATTTTTATCTATATTTCTTTGTTTATCGTTAGTTTTTTTTCCATCATTGGTATCACGTGATAAAAGGTTTCGTCTTTTGTCTTGAACTATTGCCTTTGCGTTAGTATCTTTATCAGTATTACTCTGTTTATCGATAGTTTTTTTGCCATCATTGGTATCACGTGGTTGAAGATTACTTTTTTTTTTATCTTTTAATTTATCATGGTTGTTATTATATGAAGTATTTATTTTATTAAAATTATTATTTTTACTATCATTGGTACCTTGATAATTTTGTTCTTTATCTGGCTGTTCTTTTATCTTTTTATTGTTATGGTTTCTTTGGTGTTTTTGTGTATTATTGCCACTGTTATTGGTATTTTGTCGTTTGTCTAATTGATTTTTATTACCATAGAATGTTTGCTGTACTACTTTATTATTATTAGAAGTTGGATTTGCCAATACTTTTTTATAATTTAATGCTTCTTTTGTGTTAAAATCTTTAATTTTTAAATTGATATTTTTATAACTTTTAGATCGAGTTTTATTTTTATTAATTTTATCGGTTATATTATACTTTTTTTCTTGTAAATCAGGCATTTGGGTAACAACTTTTTTATCACCTAAATTTATATTCTGATCATGATTTTTACCTTTGTCAGCCATGATGTTTTTATCTTCTTTAAGTATATTTCTTTTCGTAATTTGCTGATGACCTCCTATTTTATTTTCCTCGATTATTCCTATTGGTTTTCTATTTAGGCGATTTTCAGCAGTTTCATTCTCTTGTTTCTTTTTGTTAATGAGATTTTCCTTAAAACTTTTACTTGCACTTTTTTGTGAATTATACATTTTATTGTCTTTTGTTTTTTTTTCTTCAGTAATGTTGGTAGCAATTTTGATAGATTCATTAGCTTTTTTCTGTGACACATTTCTTGGGTGAAAACTCGAGTATACTTTACTCCTTCGGTTTGCGATTTCAGTCGGTAAATTATCGTTATTTTTTTTAGTTATTAAATCATAGTTTTTATCTGAAGTTCTTTTTCTAAGTTGAATATTTGATCTTGATTTAAGAGATGATTTATTTGTAATGCGTGTTATTCCTTCGTTGACTTTTCCCTGTTGATTATAATTATTGTTATTTTCAACAGTTTTCTTGGATAAAATTTGATTGGTTTTACCTTGTTTAGGATTATCTTTAACCACAATATTTTTTTTTGGTATAGTATTTTGCTCTGCCAAGTCATTTAAATAGCTTTTTTTTCTTTTCGAATGTGTTAAAGCACTTAAATCATTTTTATTTTTGATTGATATTTTAAGACCACTCGTTTTATTTATATTTTTTAAGTTAAAATCAGGTATTACATTATAAGTTTTTTTAAAATTATCTCCTCTTTTAGTAGAAACGAGTAAATCAGCGATGGAATAAATTACTCCCATTTTAATTTTATTATAAAGTGATGATGGATCTGAAGAAATATCATCATTGGTAAATTCTTTATATGCATTGAGTAAGTTTTCAACAATTTCTTGGTCAGCTGCATCGATATTTTCATTGCAAAGTAATTTAAGGACATTATTTGCTATCAAAGAGGAAATAGCTTGAGCGAAATCCGTTTTACTAACATAGGATTCATTATTTGTCGTTAATTTTATTTGATTTTTTGTTATACTGTAATAATTAGAACAATTTAAAATATAAAAAACAAATATATGAAAAAATGAATTGGCTTACCTACATTTTTGAATTCATTGTCCATTCACAAAAAACAAAATAAAATACATTAAATTTTAATTCAAATTTTAAACACTTATATAATTTTAAATAATTGAAGTTAAAGTTTAGTTTTTTTATATAGATATCAACAAACTAAGAGCATTGTAATAGCCAACGATTAAGCGCATCATTAATGTATTCTTGTCATGTAAAGAGGTTTGTATTAAATCACAAATTTTATATTAAATAAATTTAAAAATAAATCTTATTTTTGATTTATTATTAATGTAATAGACAAAAAGATATTTATGAAATAATATTCATAATATTGCATGTTGATGATTGACATAATTTCTGCCTGACCGTAGAGATACTCTGCTAATATTATTTTATAAAAGAAACTGATATCTGACCTTATTGATTCACCTTTATTATTGAGTAAAATTAACTTTTAATTTCCTTATTCTATCACTAAAAGTAAATTTACATTTTTGATACTTAAGCACAACTCGAATTATTAATGTATTTTGTTAATGTTGATCTTTGCTTTATTAGTTTTTAGTTATTCTATTCATTTTTAATATTACCTGTTTTCATACATATTCGTTTTATTTATTTATATTCTTTGTTGACTTTTACATTTTTATTTCTGTATAAAATGCATATAAATGTATATTTGTTCTATTGTCGTTTATACTAAAGAATAGCAATACTGTTTTTTGAATTGCGTTCAACCCGTGATAAATTATGAATAAATAAAAATTATTTCGGATTGATTTTATATAATCGTTAAAAATCACTTAAAAGATAGTTTTAAATGCTTTTTTAACTTTGTAACAGTCAAATGAACTTATTTTTAGTCATTAAAATTTTTGATCTTTCGTAAAAAATAGTTCTGGCGTTTTTGGTACACAGTAACTAATAAAACTTTGAATATTAATTTCTTTATATAGAAACAGTAATTAAATTTTTATAAATGTGATATTAAAATTACATAAGTAAAAGTAAACAGTATACTTAAAATGAATTCCCTAATTAGTTTTAGTAAACAGCGTACCATCTGTTCGTTAATATTTAAATCATATTAGAATCTGTGACTCATAAAAGATATTTGCTATAAAGTATGAAGATTTACATAAATTTTATAATTACATTTTAAATTTAAAAATTTTATATAATTTAGAACTTTAATTAATTTATAGCTTAAATTTAGTCATTGAATTAATATATTTAAAAGTAAATAATTCATTAAAAATAATTTTAAAACCAACAAGTACAAATAAATTACAATCCTTTATAGATAAAAAACTATAATATATTTTAAATAATTTATCCGTAATTATATATCTTAAAATTAAATTTATTATAATTTAATTATAATAGGGTACAAAAAAATTGAAGTGAAATAACTACCAAATAAAATTTAGAAATATGTCATATTAAATAATGATATTTAATCTCCCAATTGAATTTAAAAAAATTATATTTTCATTAATATTATCAAAATAGGTATTTTGATAATAGTAAAGTCCATTGGGATTTTAAAATATTTGTCTGAAATAAATTTATATCACTTTTATTCTTAAGGGCTCATGATATTTGATATACTATAACAAATTTAAGTTAAAATAAAAATATGTTTACTTACAAAATTTTTTCTTAAATAAATAACTGTAAAAGTTTCATTTATTTCCAATCTTATATATAAAAATATTTCTTTATTGAAAATGTTGAATGCATAGTGTGTTGTAAAACACTATATATTTTAAGTAGATGAAAAATTTTCTTTAAGTACATAGTATTTTAATTATCACTAGACATTAAACTTTCATTAAATATTTTCTTCACAAAATGAATCGCATCAAGTTATCAAGTTATAATTGTATTAAATAATTCTAATATCGAGTCAATGGTTTCGTCGTTTGTAGTACGTATACTGTATAATGCCTGTATGAAATGTGTGATACATTAATAGAAAAAAACAGTTGATTATTTCCATTCTCTCAAATACCAACAACTGTTCAACAGATGTCAACATATACTTGGTACTGAATATTTTATGAATACAAATAGAATTTAAACAACAAATTTGAGGCAACTTACTAAGTTGTAACCTCGGACACACGGACTAGAATTAGCATTGCGGTAAGCGAAAAAAACGGAAGTTTGTTTTACATTTGTTTTAGAAAAAATGACAATAATAAGTTCAAAACGTAGTTTAAGTAACAAAGTTTTCAATAAACCCAATAGTTACGATTCCTAACGTTACTTCATTAACTTCAATATTGAAATTAATTTGTATTTATTAAAATTATTAATTATGTCTTTTTGATAATTTGTACAAGATCAAAATTATTTGTGCAGAATTTCAAATTAGTAAGTATTTTAAATTGTAGAAATCTCAAATTTGTGTTTATATTAAACTTTTTATTTCACTTGTTTATACCAATGTTATATTTACACATTATAAATTATAGCTCTACTATAAATAAAGTTTTGTTTTATATTGTAATATGTTGATACAATACATTTTCATAAAAAAAATGTAGAGATATTCTTAAACGTTCTTAAGAAACCAAAAAAACATTCAGCCTTTAAAATTCCCTAAGATACAATTTTTTCCATAAATCTAATATTTATTTATTATACGTAACTTCCATTATATTAAGCTTAATGTTATTTATTAAATTATATATGAATTGAAAATATAGAAATACCTTTATTAATTGGGCTTATGAAGTAAAAAAACGTTAGTGCCAAAAAACTTTCATGATAAACTGGAAGTTGTTTTTGTGCTAACATTGTCAGTGTTAGGTAGTAAAGTAATTTTAGTGTAATTTAATTATTGATATTAAAAGTAATTTTATTTTAATTTCAATTAATTACTTAAGTGGAAAATTTGGTCATTATTTTATTTTTAGCTATATATTTTGAAATTTTGCACTGCACTTTAGAGTTGTACAAATTGCACTGCAGAAATTATTTAGAGTTTTATACTGGGGATTTAATATAAAAAATTTTTTTTTATCTTTTGTTTATTGCATCAAAATTATGATTTTTTTAGGTATTTCTTTTTGGGAGTTGTTTTTTCCCAGAAATTTCTCTAATTTACGTCTAAAAATAATAACTAAGACTGAAATTTACTATTAAATAAAATTACATTTATTTGTTATAATATACTTAACATTAATTTCACTTTTATATTTTTATTTTGGAATTTAATTAAATAAATACAATAAAATTAGTGGCGTATTTAGAGAAAACACAATGATATACCATCCTCCATTGGAAATGGATGCTAATATAAAAATATTAATTAACCTTTTTTTGCTTATTATCAGCTCAAACTCAGTAAATAATAGCTGTAAAAAGTTTCATGGTAACTTTTGAGTTAAAAATTCTTTGTGTTTCTTCCCTTTGCCATAGTAAATATCTAAATAAGCCTTTGAGTGAATTTTCATTAGAAATTATTATTGGTATAAGTGTTTAATTAAAATAAATGTTATATTTAACACATAAATGAAAAAACTTCCAGTATTATTAAGTTACTTGTTATAAAAGTAATATAAATTCATTACTTGCTACATTAATTAACTTTTAGTAGTAATATAGATTAATTTTTATACTATTGAGTAAATTGTAATTTTATTTTATTTCCAAAAATAGTAATTTACCCAACACCGACAATTATGTAGTTAAGTAATTATGGTCTTATTCAAAAGTTTAAGATTAAGGCTATATAGAGTTGAAAAAAAACTATAAATGTTATTTCCGTGATTTTAAAATATTAGTTGATGAAGATTATTTAGTACTTAACAACATACATTAAAAACAAGTCAATTTTTTACTGGGTTTTTTTTATTTAAAATTAAAATTTAGTAAATGATAATTAATACAATTTTTTTTACTGTCCCAGGTGTTAAGTTTTTCTAAAAAAAGGAGTGTTTTTGTCAGTTTATATTTTTGTTATAAAAATAATGTGTAACTTGCAAGTAAATCTCATTATAACTTTGTGAGTTATTAAAAATGTTTTATCTTCATTTCAAATTTATTCCACCTAATTTGAAAGAATACTTTCGAAGACTTTTAAAATCTCTAGGATAATTTTAAATGAATATAATACATGATAAAATCATAAATATTATATTCTGTATTTGTCAATGCTATTAGGTAACAAGTAGCAAATGTTCAAATTTTTCTCGTTACTAGATATTCACGAAGGTTGCCAATTGGTGTTGTTTTAGATAAATACATTGTTCCACACATTATTAATATAATGTAACAAAAGTATTGTTACATTATTAATATAATGTAACGAGAGTTGTTAAATTATAAACATTAAAACCTCTGTCCTAAAGTTTAATATATTTAAAAGCTGTACTTTAATTATTGTAAATTATGTTGTATTTATTTAAAATTGTAAAATTTAGTTTTCATTTAAAGTTGAATTGACAGTTTTTATATAGTAAATAATAAAAAACATTGTTACAATTTAAAGTGAAATTTGAGATTAAATATATAATTGAACAAGAATAAGATTTTTTAATATTCAATTCAAATTAATATTGTAAACGAAAATTATTTAAATTATTTTTTCTCAGACTTTTGCACAATTTAATTATTGCTTGTCAATGATTTTTATAGAAAAAATAAAGATAGAATAATTCAAAAAAATATTCAAAAACGATTAAGGTTTTATTAGATATTATTAATATCTTCGTTTATAGTCTTCTAAATAATTAAAATCCAGAATATTTGTTTATATACAATTTCTTCAACATTTTTTTAAATCTTTCAATAAGCCAATAAATGTACTTTTATTGAATTAATAATTATTAATAAGCATGATTATCGAGTAATTAGTTTTTACGTAGAAAGAGTGCTGTAAATAAATAATTTATATCGTATGTATTAAAATATAAAAATTAGTCTGTACTCACAATTATCAACTGCTAACCGCAGACCAAACTTTTTCATGTGAACATAAACACATTAAAACATAATAACTACACCTGGCATAAGTGAAAAAAATCACATATATAACTATTTGAACAAACAATGTAAATCACCTAATTATACACGGTTTATTTTACCTGATTTTAATATACCTAATGGTAGTAGAAGAAACCTTAATAGCTAGCTAATTAGCAACTCAGAAGAAAATTAAAATTACAATTAGTAAAATTAAATGATACAAATTTCCAATTATTATAAAGTTTTTGGATCTTTGAAACAGCTGACTTACAAATTATTGTTTTTTGTATGATTTAATAATAATCACCATTGATTATTTTAGCTGACAAAAAGTAACCAATTCGATAAGCGTGTGAAGAGCTCTGAGATATTGAGTATTTAATATTTAAAGTCTAGTTCTATATATAATAATTAGTATAATTTTTTATAATATAAATTTAATATAATGCACATTGTAAATTTATATTACATAAAAAAATAGTCTAAAACAAATAAAATTTTATATATTTGCTGTCATGGTAACTTTACTAATTAAAATTAAATTGCTGTAAATAATATTTATAATTAGTTGTATTTTATACATACAATTATAATTTATTTTACCTTTGTATTTATGAAAAGTAAAATTAGTATATTATTTTTTATTTATTTTAGCATATAATGACAATTCTCATAGTTATCAAATTAAAACATAAAACTAGAATCAATTATTAAGTATCTAACATTTTTATTTAAAATAATTCTTAATTTTCAGTAATTGATTAAAAATACTAAAATTTAAGGTAAAATTTAAAATTTAAAAATGGTAAGTTATTATTTCATCAAATGATATTCTCTAGATATAAAATCTATGCACGTTTTTCAGTCGACAAGTTCAATTAAATGTAGTGAAGTTTCAAATAATGGATATATATACGAACCAACAATTAAGATCATATATTTAGAAAATATTGTCAAGAATATCAGTAAAAAATTGATTTTGGATATCCGAGATCGATTCTTAAAAGAATCATCAAATGGAAATGTTACTGAAAAACAGTTACAGGCAGTTTTACAACCGTACAATTTGAATTTGTCCGATAAAGATTTTCGTCCTATGTTCGCTAAAATTGACCAGAAAAAAGAAGGGGCTGTAAATTTCATGCAGTTTATTATGTATTTATCAACAGAGTTTGAATTATATAGAAAACAGTTTGACTATAATGATGAAACTTTCGGAAATTCTGTGTTAATAGTTGAAACACCCTTAAAAATTGTTAACAAACACCGGAGATCAATTATTGGTATAGAGCTGAAACCTTTGCTCGGTCAAGATGCCGTACAAACCGAATTTATAGATGGTGAATATATAACGGCTAGTAATGAGGGGGTTGTACACTTTTGGACTTTGGATATGAAATGGAAAAGAGGCGAAGTTGCTCCAGCAAGAAATGTAACGTATGTACTTTATTTCAGAAACGAATAATTAAGTTGTTTATACTTAATAAGGTGCAGTTATTTTAACAGTCTCGTTTTTCTTTTGATATAATTGAAAATAAAACTTTATTGTAGAGTCAATAAGTTGACAGTATAATATGATTGATAATTACTATGATATGATTTAACTTAATAAAAGTTCAATCAAGTTTTTGGTTAGATATTAGAAAATAATGAATACTAGAAAATTTTATAAATTTAAAACAATTTCATAAAAATGTATTATAGGTATATACAGTAGCAGAGGAACTCTATTTGTTCTAGGGGAGCGACTTCCTTCACGTTCACTAAAACTAAAATTCTAATTAATATTAATTGATTAGAATTAAGTAAAACAAAAACAAATAACTTTTATTACTTGTTATTTATCATTGATGTACTTGGGATAACATAGATAAACTATATAAGTGCTGAACCTTAATAATGATATTTTATCTAGAATGAGCTGACTACTAAACTTACTGCTTTGGTTGTTTTACCCGATTTGAACATAGTTGGCGTGGCATCAGTAGAATGTGAACTTCGTTTCTATGACACATTAGCAAGTCAATTTCGGTTAAGGTTGGTTATTGATAAAATGCCGCACATGGTGACGTGCTTATCATACATTTACGAACCAGGAGGTAATCTACGTGAATATAGTTCAAAGCTGTTGCTTGGTGACTGTATAGGTGGTGTACGTATTTTGTCTATGATGACCAGAGGCAGAGGTCCTTTTAGAATGAATACCGGTGATTCTTATGTTGTCCACAATTATGCAGATTTGATGACACTAGGAGGACTAGGAGTATCTTCTAAAACAACTGCATCTGCGCCATTCCATGTACTTGAGTTTCCAAATCTACACCCTGACTACGTTCAAGAAGTTATGTTTTGCAATGGTGGTAAAGCTATGGTTTCTGTATCAGAAACATATAATCGATCTATGATGTATTGTCAAACAATTAAAAATGGTTGGTGGCGTTCATTTACTGCACCTCAAGGTTTTTCATGCGCATGTATTATAGAAAACACACACTTGGTGGCTGGAAGCCAAGATTGCGTGGTTAGAGTTTGGAGTATAGATAGTTTTTTGGGTACTAGTGCTACTACAAAACAAAGAAGTATTAACTTCACTGGTCATAATGCACCAATTATGCACGTATTTTACAATAATCGTAATAGACGACTGTACTCAATGTGCTTTGAACGTATTATCAAGGTATGGAGTGTGCATAAGGGTGCGTGTCTTATGACATACACAGGTTTGACAACACTCAATGCTGACTATCAAGAATTGTGCATATATTTCAACCAAAAAAATAGTACACTAATTGTCGGTGGCAGAACAATTGTGGTTTTACCATGTAGTGAAAATATCAATCACACATTAAGTGATGGTTATTCACATAACGCGGCTGTCACTAAAACTATGTATAACAAACTCTATCGCTTATTAATATCCGTATCTGCTGATGCTGTTATTACTGTATGGAATCCATGGACCGGTGAAATGATTTTAAAGAGAACTAACGCACATACAAAATTAGTTCTTGGAGAATTTGTACCAGCTGAAATAACAGCTGCCAATTTTGATCCCTCCGGTGGTCTTTTGGTTACTGGTTCTGAAGATGGTAGTATCCGAATGTGGGACCCAACAAATGGTGCTTGTCTTAATAGATTACAAATTGCATCCAAGTGTCAAATATCCGAGTTGATTTGGCTGCCAAATAAAGTAAATACATTTATTTATTGAATTTTCAAAAACGATGATAGGGGATATGAATATAAATGTAGGTAATGATAGGAGAAGATATGAAAGAGTACATGGAGGGTATGGTTTTAGTGGGAAGAATGAGGCTGGAGAAAGAATCCTGGATTTCGCTGTATTATATAAACTTACTGTGGTTAATACTTATTTTAGAAAGAGGGAATATATATATATAACTTATAAGAGTGTGAGTAATAGATCACAGATTGATTATTTGATGTGGAAGGGAGAGCATAGTTTAGTTTTAGTTTTAGTTATTATTGAGGTGGACATAATGCTAATGCACTCAGACCTGTTGGTCCATTGTGCGCACGTCATACCGAATTGTCTTGATTCGGTTTTTTACTTAATTGTTATCACTGAAGTGTTGTTACATTATACCAACCATAATGTCACCTCTATAGATGACCAAAGAGTCCTGTATTTCCCGCGAAATTAAGTATCTCTCCTGGTTGAAAGGTTACAAATATATAAAAATTGGCCGCAACGAAAAATTTGTAAATTTCATGGCGTTTTACAAAGTTATAAGTAAAGGGTCGCCAACCTACTGGGCGAGACAGTATATTGTCGGACCACAGTAGGATTTAAAAAAAAAATTAACTTTTTTATATTAAAACAATTAGAAAAAAATATATAATTAATAAATATTAAAGTTGATGTCCGTTGAGTCGTTGATAGTAGATGTACACCAAAACCTCGTGACAGTTGTCACATAACCATATAGATCAGGGATGACCTTATACAAGGCCGTTGCCCGTACCTTATAAACTAGGGGAGTTGATTTTTGAAAGGAAAAAAAAAATACACGAGTCCATTGAAGATGGAACACGCAAAAAAGAAGAAACAGATGATGGTTAAGTTAAATTAAGGAGACTTTATTAAAAAAAACAAAAAAAATTAAGTTAACACGAGGCAAAAAACCGAATGGTCAAAAAACCTCGTCTACAAATTAAAGGGGAACAAAGAAAGAGAGAAAAAAAAAAATATTAATAAAAAAAAATAGTTACACCTACACTTTTATTATTAGAGAATACGATGAACGTCTTCGGGTACCCGCCGGCTATTAATCGCAGCATTGCCGCTAAGCACGGCGGGTATACGTCCCAAGTAAGCGACTGGTTTTTGGCAGTTAGGCTTAGCTTGCAAGACGTTGGGACACCCCGGAATAAAATGCACTACGTCACCACATTGTACCAATAATATATACATNTTGGGACACCCCGGAATAAAATGCACTACGTCACCACATTGTATCAATAATATATTCATCACCCAATAAAAAAAATAATATAAAACCTATAAAAAAAATCACAAAAAAATATGGATATAACATGACAGGTGGTCTTGTACACGCCTGTCATGTTACGGGACCTAAATAAAAAAATATAGGGGCACCTACACAAAAAAAAAAAAAAAACTATATAAAAAATATAAAAAAATTCGCCACACGTACTTATGGCACGGCGCACTAAAAAATAACTGGCTCAAAACATTATATAATAAACTATACATTACCAGCCCCGAAGGGCTAACGAATATGGAGGCAGGTTTAGCCGACGCCAATATAAAAAAATTACATAATCACAACATAGTGGACACTCGCGAAAATATATATATAGAATTAACAGTTGCAGCGCACACAACAAAAAAAACCTCTGTGGACGAAAATTAGCGACGACCAGTTCCGATGATGGCTAATTTCCGACAACCCGTCCGACGTTTGACCCGGCGGTCCGTTGGCGACCAAACGGCTTTTAGAGTAGGGGTCAAAAAATAACTAAATACCCAGTGCCGGAAATTATTAAAAACAATTTAAATCATATGGCGACAATGTATGCGGTGAGCAGTGCAAATGACGTTCAAGATAGGAATAGAGCAGGGTGAATGTACACACAAATGCCGTCCATGAACCGGTCTGAAGTAGTACACAGCTGACTATCTCGCACGCGCATAAACAAATCACAACACCTTATCATGATAATTTTACCGACAAACGCCGTCGCAGTCCACATTTGGCTCAACACAAATATATATATATATACAAATAGACAAAAAAATAAATAGATACTTTTGTCACGTTACATGGTTTTAGGTTTTTAATATCTTTTTTTTCAGGAAAAGGTTTACTCAAGTAGTTTGATCATAGTGTGGACAAGGCTTCAAATTCGCACATCATGTGAAATGAGTCTTCCTCTTCTACTCCATACTTCCTGCGCAATGGTGAATCCGATACCCCCATTGCGTTAAAATGTTTAAGCAGGTGACCATGTCCTGTTAGTAGACCAGTCAAGGTGCTTATTTGATGTCTAGTCATGCTATTAAGATCATCCAACAGTAGACCAGGGATCTTGATAAACGTTTTAGATTATCTAGGTACTACCAATTACTACCAAGTACTTCCAGATTTTCCTATGTTGTTCTCTGCATCAATTCTTGGGTAGTGCTTTGAGCGATTGCTCAGTGAGTCCTACCACTGGTTCTGGTCCAACATAGGTATTCTCTGCTTCTTTTCTGGCTAGAAAGCCAGTATTTTTATTTCCAGTGACACCGTTGTGTCCTGGTACCCACGCCAGTGTAACTTTGTTGAACTTCGATAGTAATTCTAAAGTTTCCCTGCATTCGAGGACCAGCTTTGAATTCACCCGATCAATACAGAGTACGTTCAAAGCCGCTTGACTGTCACTTAAGATATCGATATATGGATTCTTAAGGTATCTTCCTATTTTTGTATACCAGTAGGTTCTGAGCCCCTACCAGTATTGCCATTACCTCTGCTTAGAAAACAGAGGGTGTTATGCCCAATGGCATACTGACATTTATTCATGGCTTTTAACCCCAAATGCCAGCACCTACATTTTCTGATATTTTGGATTCATCTTTATACATTAAAAATCCTTCTTTTTCAGTCAGGTAGTTAATATTCCATTCTTTACGTGTAGTGATCTCCACTTTGTAAGGAATGTTATTCTTAAGAATCGGATTGAAAGGGGTATTTCAAAAAGCCCTGATCTATCTTTTTTATTATTTTACCATGTTTTGCTGTGTCACTCTTGAGAGTCCACATACTTAAGTTGTGGAATATTAGTACTGTGGCTTTGGCGTGAGCTTTAACTTCTAGATGCAGGGGAGGCAATCCGATTAGTGCCTCTAATGTGACCGTTGATGTAGTTCTTAATGCTCTAGTGATCGCTATGGCAGCCATTTTCTGTATGCGACTAAGTTCATTCCTAGCTGTAACGAGTGCTGTTCTAGTCCACCAGACTATGGCACCATACAATATCATAGGTTTAATCACTGAAGTATACAACCAATACATAGCAATTGGTTTAAAATCCCATGTCTTTACCAAGGCTCTGCTGCAAGTTCACAATGTGGCCATTATTCTTTTAATTCTTGACTCAACATGTGATTTCCATTTTAGTTTACTATCTAAGATAATACCTTAGTATTTTACTTCCGATTTTAAGCTAATTTCTTGTCCGTTTAGAGTAAGAGTGTCAAGTCTGTCTACCCCTGTTCTCCTTCTAGTGAACGACCTCTGCTTTATTTGAATTAATAGATAGACCATACTTACTGCACTATATATGTATAGTGTTTAGTCTCTGTTGTGCTAAGTCTATAATAGTGTCTGATAATTTACCCACCACTGCTATAACTAAATCATCCGCATAGGCTTGTATATAACAGTATTTGTTTAACTCTTTAATAAGCAAGTCCAATATTAGATACCATAGCAAGGGGGATAGAACCCCGTCTTGTGGGCATCCCTCTTTAACACTCTTGATTACTTTGGTTTCATTGAGCTGTCCCATATAGGAGCGTTCCTTTAGCATAGTTTCTATCCACTTAATAATATGTGGTTCTATTCCATGCTGTTGTGCAGATTCACACATAGCTTCGAAGGGAGTGTTGTCAAAGTTTTAGTGAGCATTAGCATCCATACCTAGGATGAGTTTTAATTTTTCATTTTTGCAATAATTAAAGAGCATAGTTAGGTCCCTACCTGGGTCTGTGACCTCATATGGTAGATATCCTGAAGCTACTATAATATTTTTACCATCACTTAGTGTTACTTTGATAATAGTCAAGTCAGCACTTAATAGATTAAGTATCAAGCTGGCTTTAACTTTATCATTAACCAAAATACAAGTTCTTGGTTTGTCTGCTTGTTTATGAAACAGTTTAAAATTCCTTAGAGTTAGCTCCTTAATCTGGTCACCATTAATCCATGGTCCCTGAATAAGTGCTATTTGTAAGGGTGTTGTATGTCTCTCAGTTAGGGTCCTTAGTAGTACACTAGTAACTGTAATACAAATTTATTTGCGTGAATTGATTTCTATTGTCAGCCATTCAGAGAACTAATGTTGATGCTTTTGAAAGCACGCTGTACTGGGTGTCATACCGGTGTCTGAAATAGTCCCTGTATCACACAGCCCTCTCTGTGGGTAGTGCCCCCCGCCGTCCCCAGGTGGCGATTGTTCCTTAGGTTCGCTCTCCACATTTCCTTTCGGATACGTGGAGAGCTCCCCTCAGCTGTGGCCGTTGTTGAAGATGGTAGTTTTCTGGGTTTCTTTTCTTTACGTAACCCACTTCCATCTTTCCCTATCAAGGCAGGTGTGAAGTGACCCCGTTTATTTCTTGCTTGTGCCTTGTCTCCTTTCCCTAAATGCACTGATGATTCTTTAGTCTTTCTCTTCCCAGATTTTTGAGGAGCTAATTTTTTCACATCTTTCTGGGCTGATGGCTGCTTGGCAACACGTCTGTAAAGCAAACTCTGCCCATTTCAAAATATGGACTGCACTTCAGTTCCTCCAGTTTGACTATGCTCTTCTCGTCCACATTTAGGAACAAAGTTTGTCCTTTCGGGAAAACCTCTCTTTCATAGTGGACTTTCCAGATCGCTGTGTTCAGCCCTGGGTTTTGTTTTGCCAAAATTTCCAAGATTTTCTTAGATTCTTTTGGCAGCCCTAGTAAATGAGTGACATTCCGTTTGTACTTGATCAGGTTGTAGGCTTCCATTTGGATTTTTGCATTGCCCCAAGGTTTTATTAGGTTGACATGATCAGTGAGCCACTTAAGATTTGGGCTGCATTGATTACAAGTGCTCCATCAATAAGTCTGATGTCTTTAAACCTTGGTACGTCGGTTCCATCAGGACACGATAGTATCAAATCTCCAACACAAGATTCAACGAGTAGCCCCGGCTCTGTTGTCAACTTGTTAGTGGAGTAGACTGCGATGACCAGAGCCACTTTTTTATCTATATAGTTCCCACGAGTAGTCGAGAAATAAAGGACCATCACAACAGAGCTCGTTACTGTGATAAGGATGTACACTTTATGGTGCGCTAGGATCCCAATGGTCACTTTACCTTTTGATTAACTACCCTGTGACAAGTTAGGAACCCTTTTACTTGATATGGCTGGGTTAGGGGGAAGGGAGAGCGTAAAGCGAGTAAAAGATTGTAAATTTATACTAAGCGAGAGTATAACTACGCAACATAGACTGATAGTATTGGAGTTGTGGTGTAATGGGAAGAGAATATACAAAAACAGAAAGAACATAGGAGGAAAATCGAAGATCCGGTAGTGGAAATTGAGAGGGGAAAATGAAAAAGTATTTTTAAAGACGGTAAATGAGAGGACGGTGTGGAATGTTGAGGGAGACATAAATGATGTGTAGAATAGATTTGCTAGTTGTGTAAAGAATACTGCAAAAGAGATTATTGGTGAGAGTAAGAGTAGACTGCCAGGAAATAAGGAAACCTGGCTATGAGATGACGAGGTTCAAAAAATTTTAGAGAGTATGAAAAAGCAGTTAAAAATATGGCAGAAGTGGAAAAATAGATAAGATTGAATGGAGTACAAACGCTTGTTTAAAGAAACCAAATGTGTGGTTGATTTAAGAGATATGTTGGGTTGTATGATAGGCTAAGACCAAAGGAAGATGAAAAAGAGGTCTATTAGAAGGAAAAATGCCAAAAGAATCAAAGAATAGTATTGTGGTACCGATATTTAAAGGCAAATGAAATAGATATGACTTATAGATGTATGGAAATCATAAAGGTATAAAGCTTGTAGTATGAAGATTTAGGAAAAGGTAATTGATAAAAGAATAAAAGGAGAAACATCAGTAACAAAAAAGCAGTTTGGTTTTTTGTCTGGAAAGTTAACGATGAAGCCCATTTTATGTGTGATACAACTAATAGAAAAATAGAAAAAGCTGATTATAGTATTTATAGATTTGGAGGAAACGTATAATAGATTACCGAAGGAGGTATTCTATAACAAAGGTTTAAAGTGCAAAGTATTGAGCGATTAACAAAATAATAGAGTAGAGAATGAGTATAGCAGAGATGAGGATGCTTAGATGGATGAGTAGAGTGACTAGAGAAGATACTATATTGAAGGAAGAAGTGGTAGAGGAAGACCAAAATAAAGATGGAGGGATGTTATTGAATGCAATGTGAGGACGGCTGATGTGGGCGTAGATAATATGGAAGATTATGTCAAGTATAAGTTTAAGATAAGGGTGGCCGACACCAAATAGTTGGAATTAAGGCGAGGAAAAAGAGGAAGAAAATTAAAATTAAAAAAATTACGATTCATCAGTATTTTTTAACGACTTCGTGATATTTTATAAGCACACATTTCAGTTTATCTTACATTTTTAAGGTATTAGTGTCTAGTTGGGACAAACGAATTACAGAATTTAATGACCCACTTTTGGTATCTAAAGGAAAACGATGGCTTGTCAGTCATGAAGAATCTATTCTAACAATGAGTGTAAAACTACCATCAATGTTAGTAACAACCTCATATGCTGGTAAGGTAGGATTTTGGCGGTTAGAAACTGGACAGATGATAAAATTTTATGGGTTAAAAATGAAGCCAGATAGTCGAGGGAACTTAAGAGGCTACGGCACGAATAAAAATCAAATAAGTTCAATGAATTTGTCAAGTATACAAACTCAAGATAGTCACTTTGTTAAGGGAACTAATAGTAGTGGCTTATTTGAAACTAGAGAGACAACATTACAAAGACTAGGAGTTAAGTTTACGCCAAAGGAATATCATGCTGCAACTAGCTCACACTTTCTGAGGGGCCGGCAAGATGCTACGAGAGTGGGCAACCTCTTAATAGCCACTCGGAATGGGGTCATACAAATATGGTCCACATTTAAAATACCTACATATCTAGCCCAATTCAAGGCAATTCATATTGAAGGTGATTATGTAACATCAATGGCATCTGATGATAAAAGTCATTATTTGTTTACTTGTTTCACAACTGGCTACGTCAAAGTATGGTTTATTATAAATTTTGGTGTTGTAAATAAACAAGCAATTTCTATGCCTCTTCTTCGGCTTCGGTTTTCGTTTCTTATTAATTCATTTTTTGTTGGTCGTGCTGAAAGAGCTGCTCGAAATGAACAGAATATTATATTAGTAAGTTCTTATCAAGCACATTTAGGCTGTATCAGACATATCGAATATGTGCAACACGTAAAAATGGTTGTAACTAGTAGTGTTGACATGAGCATACGGTTATGGACAATCAACGGACATTATATTGGGACATTAGGTGAATTATTTTATTATTAATAATTAAAATTATTTACTCTTTAAATTTTGATACAAACAGTGATTCAAAGTGATTTAATATGATAATATATTTATAATGTAATCCACTTAGTAATAAATACTGTAATAAAAAAAATAAATTATTGAAAATTACTTTGCAAGTATTCTCATCAATACTTAATTTATTTTACTATAAATTGTTTTATATTATCACACATATTTCATTTATTATATTATTTAAAAAACAAAAACTTGAGAACAATACTAATATTATTATATTTTAAGCTTTGTATCATTAGAATGACTAATTTCATATTAAAATGAATTTTATATTTGTTAAAATTAAGTTAAGTATTATCCTAAACATGTTTACATTTTGCCTGTGAAGTAAATAAATACAATTTTATACATAAACAAATAATATTTTCATATAATATTAAATAGAATACATCATTTATAATATTAAATTTTATAATAGGTTCACCAAAGCAATGGCCTCGTACAGAACTATCTAAAACAATAAGTGTTTATAATTATAGATTACCTCCCGACATTAAACGTGTTGCATCATCAACGACATTACAAGTTCTGATGAACGGTGTTAATTCCGTTTCTCGTTCAACAAAAGCATGGGAGCGGTTGAGAGCATTGAAGCAACAAAGAGATATGGAAGACAAAGAAGTCAAAAGATCACTTTTGGGTGACAGGTGTCCAGAAAACCCTTTGTACAAACATTACTGTCAACCAGATAGACCAACAACAATAATTGACCCCACTCAACAAGTTCACATTGATACGTCTGTTCCATGCATTGAAATATACAAATATTTATCGTTGTATGAGTTAAAGCCTATACCTCAAAATCATATTTCAAAAGATCTGTACGAGTCAAACAAACTTAAAAAAGTCCGTTTTAAAAATGTATGAATGTATTAAAAATGTATAATAAATGCATAAAAAAGTCAATAAATGCTACATAATAATATCATTACTAATGTATAATTATTAAAAACATTTTTTTTGTAAAAATTTATAAAGTTATTAATTATACTATGATATGTTTTTATTGTGTCTATTACCACTTTTTCTCAGCTATCACCGGACCAATTTCATTCAACGATACGTCAAAAGATAACAAATCGTTTATAGTCGAAGTCATTCCCATCAAAAATTGAAAAAATTTCCCTTGTTCCCCATAAATAGGCGAAATATTAAAAAAAAAAAATACAAATTATTATTTAATTGTTATTATTAAGCGTAATATTTTGAAATACATAGCAAAACATTTACCATTATTATAGGAGAAACGAGAAACTTTTCGGTTTTACATTTGTTACTGTAAAAACTATTAATTTAAAAATAATATTAGTTTACCCCATGAAATATTACCCTTTTAATACTAATACATGTAAAATGTAATATATACATACTTATTGATAAAAATCAATTCCTGATTGAATAAGAATCCTTTTGTACAATTATCAGTTTTGGGTAAGCTACTTTTAAATAGTAACTACGGTAACTTATTAGTTACAAAATGATAATATTATCATTTTGCAACAATTGTTTAAATAATTTCATTACATATTTAATTAAAATTTTTTGTCGTTTTTTATTATTAAAAAAAATGTTCAATGATAATTTTTTTGGTAACCAAAAATTTTTTTCTGTATTATTATATTGAAACATAATAATAATCAGTTTAATATACTTCTATTTCTTGAACTTGCTATAGATGGTGATGTCCCTTATTCAAATGTTAGGCAGCCAAAGAAGGAACTTGACTATTTTAATGATGGCCGGAACGAGTATAAGAGCCAGCTTGCACCAAATATTTATAGTACGTAACATATAGTCGATGCAAATCTATAGACATCAACTCTTATTTCTTTAATTATATCCTGATTAGTTGTAGTTCTTTGATTTGAAAATATAATATATGAATAAATACTAATTATAGTTATTAAATTAAAGAAATTGATATTCAATAATTTAATATTGTAATTTATACGGAGAAATTATAAAAATAATAAAGAAGTTATATTTTGCTTTACTTTTACGTGTATAAAAGTTTAAAGGGCTTGACAAAATATTTTTCAATAAAAACTGTGTGTTACTATAAATAAATGCACTGGACTACAAGGAACTTTCATCAGAAGTAAAAATATACTTTTCTAAATCAACTTTTCGCGTTGTTTTCAAATTTACAATTAGACTTTTTCTATCACTTCTAAGTTTTAATATTATTACTTATTATTAAAAAATAAGTATTTACATGTAAAAAAAAAATATTGTAATTTATACGGAGAAATTCTAATAATAATAAAGTAGTCATATATTGTTTCACTTAAACGTGTATAAAAATTTAAAGGGCTTGATGCAACATTTTTCAATAAAATCTGGTTGTTATATAAATGAATGCACTGGACTAAAAGAAACTTTCATCAGAATCAAAAATATACTTCTTTAAATCAAATTTTCGGGCCGTTTTTGAATCTAAAATTAGATAGTTTCTATCACTTCTACTTTTTGATATTATTACTAATAACATATAAAATAATAATTAAAACAATAAAAAAAATTGTTTTTATATAATAACTGACTTTGATTTTTAATATGTTAAAAATAATTAGTCCAAAATTTCATTTTTAACCTTTTTTTTTGTCCTTTATTGTTGATGAAAAGTTTTTGATAAATTTTTGTGAAAGTTTATAGTAGAAAAAAATTGTTGCCATAATTTTTTTAACTTAATTGCAAGTTTGAATTTAACGATGTCGTTAAATTGAAAATTTTATGAGAATTAAAAAAATGGTATTTTTAAGATTAATATACAGTTAAGAAATTATATAACTACTATTTATAGTAAATTTATCAGAAAAGCTCAATATTTTTTTGCATTTTTATCGTAATAGAACACTTAAAGAGAAATCATAGAAATCATTTTTAAGTACCTTCTGTTATATAAAAAGATTCTACAATTGAAGTATTCAGAAATGAATTAATTTTAATGATTTACTTTAACTAAAAAAAAAAAAGTTGTCATTTTGAATCCCCCTTGTGGGCAGCTTAAGGGTAGTATTTATAGAAAAAATATACCAAATGATAGGTAAAGACATCATGCATCTATATAAAAAAAATAAATTAATTTGGTCATTTTTGATAAAGTTGTAGCAGTTAACAAAGTTTCAAGTTTTATACACTGTACTAAGGAAATCTCATCAGAAGCAAAAATGTACTTTTCTTTTTAAACTTTTTACGCTGTTTTCTAATCTGCTATTAAATTTTTTTATCACTTCTAAGTTTTAATATTATTAAAAAATAAGTATTTACATATAAAAAAAAAAATAATTGAGAGCAAAAAAAAATTGTTTTTTAAATTAATACTGATTTTCATTATTAATATGTTAAAAATAAGGAAAATGACATATTTAACCTATTATTTTAATCGTTTAAAGTTGATTTTTGTGAATGTTTATTGAAAAAAAAAATATTTATTTTACCATAACTTTTAGCTCAATTGGCAAGTTTGAAATTGACATAATTTAATGGAAAATTTTATGAGAATTAAAAAAATTGTACCGTTAAGATTAATATGCAGTTAGGAAGTTTTATAATTACTATTTATAGTAAATTTATTAAAGGAACTCAATATTTTTTTGCATTTTTATTGTAATAAATAATTGAAATAGAAATAATAGTAATCATTACCTAGCAACTTTTGGTGTTTAAAAAGATTCTACAATTGAAGTATTCAGAAATGAATTAATTTTAATGATTTACTTTAACTAAATGAACCAATCAAAACAAAGTTGTTAAAAAGATTTACTCAATTAGGCGTATTATAAAATCTGATTATAATTGTAAATATCCATTGTTAATTCAGGAGAAATTAACTATTATTTTTTTTAGAAATGATTTATATAGCAACATGTTACCAAAAAATTTGGATTATTATAGTCTAGTAGTAGCACACACAAATAGAGAAAAAAAATTATTAAATTACAAAGTAAAATGATTTAATTTTGTAGTTGAAACCTATCATATCAAACTTAATTTGTCAATAAGTACTTTGAAAACATTACAAATGAATGATTTGAATTGTCTGTATGGAGACCATGGGATAAGTAACTGTTTAATTGATAAATTAGAATTTTTTTTTCAATTTTTGAGGATAATATCTTCAACTAGATACGAATTGTAGCCATTTGACGTATTGTTGAAAAAAGTAGGCCAAGTTAGAGCAGAGAAAATAAATTAAGTCACAAAAAAATATCTTCTCAGCTTTGCATCGAAGCTAAAACTTAAAATATAGTAAAATTATTTTTAATATGAATAAAAAATTTCTTCACGCGAGTGGCGACTACAGTAAAGATCCTTGATCTTTATTGAAGTTATTGAATCTAAAAGAGATAAAAATCAAAGCAGTTTGTAAATATATTTTAACTTAAAAAGAATTAAGAAAAAATGCAATTAATTCAATACTGTACGCGGGTTGGATCCTTTTACCCTAAGCATGTAAAACACAAGTTTTACCGACTCGGCAACCGTATGTCGCTAATGTCAGCTAAAAAAATTGGCTACATAAACTAGTTCAAATTTCAAAATTATTTTTCTCGACTTCAAAAAACAAAAGTTTAAATAATTTTAACTTTCTATGCTATATCAATTTTATTTATATTAAAAAAAAAAAGTATGTCGAATGAAAGAGGTATATATAAAGTATTTATTATTAAAGAATAAAATTGATTCACGCATTTTTAAAAAAGTTATAGCAACATAATGTTAAAAAATGTAAATAATAATATCAAGAATTTTTTTACAAAAATAGCATATATTTAAAAGTCAAGTTGAAAAAGTTACCATTTTGAAACCCTTCCTGTGGGCTTGTAAAGGTTCAAATGTTCACAAAAGTATATAAAATAATAGGTGAATACCTAAGGTATCTATAAAAAAAAAATTATATTGGTTCGGTCATTTTTAAAAAAATTATTGCAATTTTAATTTAAAAGAATTGAAAAAATGTCGAAAATTAACGATTTTTAAATTTGTAATTTTTTGACGAATTTTTAAACGAAATCGGTTCAGTGAGAGCTGAGAAAAATTGGCAACAGACATTAAAAAAAAAAAGACACACATCATAGTAAAATTAACTTCGCATCGATGCTAATAATTAATCATAAAACATGTTCAGTTAAATATATATTAAAAGTTTATTTTGATTATTTATAATAAATATTAGGATAATTAGAAAAAGTTAATTTACTTAATAAATAGCAAAATTAAATATAGCAATCTTTACTTATCAAAGTTGTCATAATAAAGTATTTATAATTGCTTTACCTCTTCTACATGTATAAAGAACATTTAGATTTCAATTTATATTAGCTTCGATACAAAGCTGAGAAGGTATTAATTTTACTATATATTTTTTTGTGTCTATTACCACTTTTTCCTCAGCTCTTTCCGAACCGATTTCTTTTAACTATACATCAAAAATCGTATATAGTTGAAGATATTACCCTCAAAAATTGAAAAAAAATCCTTCGTTCCCCGTAAATGGGGAAAATCTCCAAAAAAATTACAAATTTGAAAATGGCTAATTTTTGACATTTACTTAAAACTGCCATAAAACATTTAAAAAAATGATCAAATCAATATAATTTTTACATAGATACGTGAGGTACTTACCTATTATTTTGTATACTTTTTTTATAAATCTGACCCTTTACTTGCCCATAGGGGGGGATTTAAAATTACAACTTTTTGACAAAAAATTAACTCAAATAAATCGTATCTAGTCAAAGTCTTACCCTCAAAAATTGAAAAAATTTCCCTCGTTCACCCTAAATGGAGGAAATCAAAATAAAAATTACAAATTTAATATGTTGATGGACGGTCACTACTAAAGCAGTCATTGTGTTTTAAGTCATAATTTGACTATAACAGTATATGGCTATACGAGTAGAAAAAAGTCACGAGTGGGTTACAACTGCTATAGCAGTTACACTTTTGTTAGTTTTCATTGTTTTTGTATCATATTTATAAAGAAAAAAGCTCTGATACATTTTTTATTCCAAACAATTATTAATGAGATATTAAAGTGAATCTGTAATTACAGCCAAGAGCGTGACTGCTATAGCAATCATGTTCGTCAATGTGTTAATAATCGGTATTTTTCGTGATTGTTTAATTTTTTTTTGCTTAAAACTGCCATAGCTTTTTGAAAAATGGATTGAAAAATTGCATGGATCAATACAACATTTTTTTAATAAATATATTAAGTAGGAACTTAACATTTGGTATATTTTTTGTAAATTGGACCTGTTACCTGTTAAATGACAATTTTTTTACAAACAGTTAATTTTTTCAACTTTGTTTTTATGATGAAAATGGACTCAAAATGAATAAAAAAAAAACTATTTTTGTAAAAAAATTATCTTTTATATTTTAAGTTTATAATGCTATAACTTTTGAAAAATGTATGGATCTTTTTAATATTAATTAGAGGAATTTTGTTATTATTTAGGCCATATGCGAAACTCTAATTGCAGATTTGAAATCGGCGCAAAAATGGGTTTAGAAATGTATATTTTGGTCTTGGGCAAAAATTCCTTTTTAACTTAAATTATTTGTTATTTATAAATAACAAATAATTTTTTTTTAAGTATTGCATCAACACCTTCAACTTTTATTTACGTTTGCCATAAAAAGTAATATCTACTTAATAATTTTACCTTCGATGCGAAGCTGAGAAGGTATTAATTTTACTATGATGTGTCTTTTTTTTTTTTACTGTTACCACTTTTTCTCAGCTCTTTCCGAACCGATTACTTTCAACTATACGTCAAAAGATCAAAAACCGTATATAGTCGAAGACATTACTCTCAAAAATTGAAAAAAATTCCCTCATTCCCCGTAAATGGGGGAAACCTCCAAAAAAATTATAAATTTAAAAATCGCTAATTTTCGAAATTTTAACACAAAAATAGCATACGGTAGCTATTTTCACCGTGAAGACAAAATAAAGTCCGAAATTTTGTCTTTTTCATTCAGGATATTAATAAGAAAATAACAGATCATGTAGCTTTTGAAATAATCCACCAAATTTTTTAATTAAACACTATCTAAAGATTTGCATAGAAGCGTTTTTTTTTATAGAGATTTTAATTACTGTCAGATATCATTATACTTGATCCAACTATGCCACGTCATCACTGTGCCACGACCCCCCTGTACTGGGTTTTTTATAATTTCTTTGTAAAAATTACAATACTATATTTAATTTCTATAAATATTTATTCATATATTACACTTATAAATCATAAAACTTATCATCATAAATTCAGATGGTTTAGAACAATAAAGACCTATTTACCTAATAAACTAGAATAAGATAAAGTGAAGTAGAGTTATTTTATCATTTGATAACTTAATATTGTTCGGTCCTGAGATACCCTAAAAGTAACTAGTACACAATAAAAATGTCTAAAAATTGTTTGTTTATTACACAATAGATCAATAATCTCTTTTAATTTTAAAAGGTAATTTTACTAATTTGTTCGCACTTTATAAATATACACATAACAGGATTACCACCCCATGCCTGAAAAGAGTGTAAAAACCTAATGTGTAACTGAGTGTATTAATAGCCATGTCGACTGGGTATTCGCGTAGGTCGCTTACCAATTTATTAGTTTTTTCTTAATATAGGGGATCTACATTTATTAATTTTATATCTACTTGTCCTTATTATTCTAAAACCTTGGAATCTACAACCCCCATAGAACTTCGTTGCTCAAGAATTGATCTAATCCCTACACATCCAAACTTTGTAAGAACTGTAACATCATTACACTCTCATTTAAATTATTACAAGTTTTAAAGATTAATTTTTGAATGATTTTTTAAACTAAAATATTAATTTAGCACAGTTAATGGATGATGAGCTTAATCCTCGAAATCCTCTTAAATAAGCCATTGAATAAAAGTAACAAAATATTCTCTAATTATTTTTTATTATGTGAGAATTTATTTAGAATAATTGTGTTATCCTGAATTTAGAAATACCAAGCGCATGATATACATTTAAAAAGTAAATACACTAAATCGATTTATGTTGTTTATTCAATATATTTAACATATCGTATATGTTATATTAAATTTTTATAATTTGTATTTTCATAATCGGTTTTAATAATATTTTTGCAAAATGTATTCATATATTCACAAATAAAATGAAAAATAGGAAGTTCTTTGTTAAATGAGTTTCTTTTTTCATAAATTGAAGATTTTAGTGACTGCTTTGTTGGCAATTTACTTATAAATTCACAAATGTTTGTTGTACAATATCTATATTCAAATTCTAATCTTTTTTTTATTATCAACTGTGATTCTTTTATTCGTTCGAATACTGATATTGCTTCTTCTTCATTCAATTTTGACTTATTGTCACATTCATTATAATTATAAACTTTAATATCGTACAAATATTTTGTTAGAATACGATCTACTCTTATTAAACTATTTAAATCCTTAGAAATCTCACAAATAGATATTTTTTTTAATTTGGCCAATACAAAGAGTAAACTTTGTACCATATTAAGAGACAAATATATTGAATTACGGAGTTCATTTACACATTCAACAAATTGATTAATAAGACTACGAAATCGTACTGATTTACACGAATCATTAATCATGGACAAAATGACGTAATAGTTTTTTAATATTTCGACATACCTACATCTCAATAACTGTTCTAAATATTTTTTTTTTTGTTTCAAGTTAGATGTGTTTACTTTATCTTGAAATAAAATTCGTGCGTTTTTTTTTGTACCATTTTCCAAAATAAGGTTTATATTATCATATTGTTCAAAATTGAAATTTGTGAATAATTGATTTAATTTGGAAATACAATATTCTTCAGAAACTAATAATGGTAACACAAGCCTATAAATATAAAACAAATTAATTTTTAATATTCTGAAACATAAGTTCGTAACTAGAATATTCTACCAAACTAAACTAAAATTTATTTCTATATTCTTAAACCTATTGCTGACATGAAATTATCACGTGTAAACCAAGTCATCGAATTAATAAACCAGCAAATTTTTCGATAAAATAAAAATAATATTGATGATTATTTTTGGTTTCTATTAGGTACATGTTTCTCTTAATTTATTAATCATAATGTTTTTTTCATGTTCACCCATTATACTTTATAGGGGTGTCAATATAATTTTTTTAAATAGCAATATACATAATTAACCAACTTATTTCTTAGATAATGTTGTTGAGTTATTAACAATTTAACTTTATGGTAGTAGGCGAGGTGCGGGTGCTGCTATTGTTATCAACAGACATTTCCATAGACTCCTCCTTCACTTAAGTATAAGAATGTACAAAAATTTCTGGTCATCGACTACTCATTTTCTTGATGTATGTTTATGGGTTATGTATATTAATTATGTATGCTGCCATTTGAAAAAATAATATTGACACCTCGTAAGGTATAATGAATATGAAAATTACTTTATGGTTAATAAAATAAAAAAATAAAAAGTTTAAAAATTATTTTGGAGGATAAATAGGTTAAATTTCAAAAGTTCAAAGGCAAAGGCCACCCTACTGTATACATACAAGGTGATTTATAATGCATGTTATCCCCAAGTATTTCGTTTATGAATAATTTTTTTATAGAATATACTAAATACCATTTATTTTATAAAGAATAATAAATGATATTAGTTAATTGTGATATACAACTGTTTTTAAGGGTAACTTTCAAAAGTTACCAAATAGGACCCCACGTAAATTTTATTACATTTGATAGAGAATAAACTAAATAAATTTTTACTCTTAAACATATAGTATTGTAAAATTACTTTTTGAAAAATAAATGTTAACTCGTTCAATGTTAAAGATTGTTTAATCAACTTTTATGCTTTCAATTTGTTTTAAAAAGTTATCATCATTTCAATATTGTATACTAGGCTTCGTCTGAGACCTGGTGCCCTACGAGCCTCACGTGCGTAAGCCTCTTTGGGGCGTCCCTATAAGTAGGCCACTAATTTTGATAAGAGTACCTGGATATGTTAAGTATTTTGTAGGAAAAATATTACATCAGAAACAGTGCAACAAAAATACATCAAAAATATAATAAATAAAATCATGAAAATAGTAAAATGTATGGATATAAGGTTGGCGTATTATTACTGAGGCCGTCATTTGGGACGTATTTAATTCTTACTTTGGTAAACATGCTATAATTATTTTTTTGTAAAAAATCAAAGCGATAAAAATAAAAGGTCAATAGAGCTATATTTTATAGAAGTTGGTCTAAAAAATATATTGATAATGCTGGTTCAATGGGGGCAATTGCCCATATCACTCTTAAATACGCCCCCGGTATATAAAATAATTAATAATAATTATTTTTTTTAATATTATAGAAAAAAAAAATTGAAAAATTTGATAGGTTATTGATAATTTTTTTGGTTACAGTGATTTGATATTGTACAGCATAGTTGTATTAGACTTATACATCATATATGAGATAAATAAGATTATTAATACTATATTTTTTAATAATGTATGTACAAACTTATATACTTATAACTGTGCTAAAATTCATATATAACTTATCAAACATTTCTCGATAAAATATACAAAATATATTGCTATGCGCTAATGCAAAATTTAATTTTTAAATTACGTATTTATTATACCGATTAAATCTAGCTATTTTTCTTATAATCTACAGTTCTTTATCAAAATCTATTTTATTCATCGGAATCATACTATTAAAAGCTATTTTACATGCTGTGGTTGTACGGAATGTATCTAAACGTTTCTGTGTTTTTCCTATAAATTTCAATATTTCGATCCTTCTCTACTATTTTAACTAATAAATCCAAAAAAAAAAATTCCCTCTACTTCCTATACGTGTGTGAATTTAATCATGGGTAACAATAATTTGAATGTCGTATGAAGACCTCTGTATTAAAATCTTTGTTTAAGACAGCAAAAATATCATCTATATACTTAACCCAAATTTTTGAAAAATCACCATAGGTGTGCTTTAAATTTGTTTCAAATCTACTCTAGAAAAGTTCTCCTAAAAATGGTGATAGCGGATTTGTCATTGCTATGCCCTCAGTTTGCTCATAAAATTTATTATAAAACTAAAAAACATTTTGACTTATACATAACATTGTTAAATTAATAGGCTCATATTTTATTCTGTTTTATGTTTTGTTACTTTATTTATCGAAATACTCGGAAATAAGGCTACTATTTCAAAAGAAATTAACCTATCATTATTCTGAATAGTATACCTAGATAATTTTTAAACTAAGTCAATATTATTTTTAGTTAAAAAGCTATCAAATTTTTGAATGGATGAAAATACCCTTACTAAGTTTAGCCAAATGGTAAGTTGGTATATTATTCGATATAATAGATCTTATTTTATTTCGTATTATGTATTTTTGATAAAAATAAAGTTTAGGTATTTATGGGCTTAAAATTTTAATAAAAAACATTCACTTTTCTTCAAATGCTAATCTTGAACTTTTGATAACATTTGTAGCCTCCTTTTACTTAATGGATTCTTTTTTATTTCATAATTTCTATATAAACATACATATAAATCAAGCATATAAGCTTTACAATTGTTATATTAAACAACCCATAAGCTTGCTACTATTCAATCCATTATTTAACATTTATTTTGTAGCCATCTTTAACAGTATTATAAAAAATATCTATAAAATTATACTAAGTATTCCATTTGAACCAAAAGCGATCATTTATAAAAAATCTATTAAATTTAATAAGGAAATATCTATAAAAATATCTTACCCAGGTTCAATAGGAATTAGTAATAATCTAAAGCCATAAGCTTCATTCTCCCGTTTATTTGCTTCGGTAAACAATTTAATACATTTATCAAGGATAAAATCGTAAACATTTTTGTCGTTAAATTGAAGAAACATATATTCTTCATTGTATTTTGTCAAACAATCTTTTTGAACGTATTGATTGTATACCATTAAAAAATTATCTAAAAATGACAACTTTGATAAAATTTTATTCATTCCATTTAGAAAATGTTTAACATTCAAAAACTGTTTACATGCTTCATCTATATCTAATTCGCCATTAGTTTTTTTATATATTGAATGATCTGGTAGTGTCGTTGATAAAGTATAGAAATAAACTTCTTTAATTTCATTAACTACAGTACGTTGACCTATGTATTTAGGAAATACTCTTTTAATTTCCAAATTTTCAATAAAGTTCATAACTTCGTATAAAGTTCCAAACATAATTTTTGAATTTTTAATTACATCTTGAATTGATTTAATGCATTCAATAAATAATCCATATGATTTTTTATTGTACTTGTTTTCACAAAAATCTATAATTTTTATTGAAAGATTTTTAAAAGTGTACAGATATTTAGCATATCTATGATTAATTAAATCTAAGACTCTGTCAAATATACTTGTGAAATTATAGTCGTTAAATTCATAATTAAAGATTATTTCCAATTTTTCATTTGAATCATAATTTAAGCTAATATTTTTAATTGAATTCCATTCTTCTTGGAGACGATTATGAAAAATTATATGTTTTGCTACTTTAAATAAATATGATTTATAATCAGAGATACTACAATGATTTGCCGAAATTAACAATAAGTACAGTAAAATAAAAATAATTGAGCTATAAGATTTTAGATTCATTTTTTAATGCAAAGAGTATAAAATGAAATGTAAGTAATGTTAGTAAAACTTTATAAGTAATTTTATTTGTTTTATTGTTCAGGTTTTTATTAACAGTTTAAATACAAATTTCAAAAATTAATGTGAGTTTCTTATACTTATCATTTATTTTTTGTGGTGAATTACTTGATTTATTGTTACATAATAAATTAATTTTTAGTTTAATAAATGTTTAATAAAACAACTTTTGTACTTGTAAAAAAAACTGATATAACATATTTAAAATATTTTTTATTTACCTCTTGATAATTTATTTCTTTTAATAGAAAGAGATATAATTAACTAACCTAGTTATTAAAAAAAAATTATTATTTTTAATTTTTTCAAAATAATAATTGACAATTTTTTTAAGCTTTATAGTTATTATTTTTTTATTAACTTTGATGTTAGTTATCAACATTAAGACAAACTAAAGTTNTTTTTATGTACTATAAAATGAAAAAAAAAATTTGTCCCGACACTTTTTCTTCTACATTTAAACGGCTGCCGTAGTTAAAAAAATACTATTTTTGTGTTAAAATTTCCGTTTTTAAATTTTCAACTTAAAAATTCTATAACTNATTTTCGATTTTAAATTTTCAACTTAAAAATGCTATAACTTTTTGAAAAATGTATATATCAGCACAAATTTTTTTTTCTAAATACATTATAAGTACATCTTTCATTTGACATACTTTTTATTAAAATTGGACAATTTCCCCTTATATAGGAGGCGTTTAAAACTTGAAATATTGTAAAAAACATAAATCGTTTTCAACTGAACTTTTGAAAATGTTCCGGAAATTAAACATATATCAAATCAAAGTTTATGTTATATACTATCAAATAAAAAAAAAAAAATTGTCCCGACATCTTATCTTCTATGTGCAAATTGCTGTCGAAAATTTAAAAAAATGTAATGTTTGCGATAAAAATTACCTTTTTTTTTTGTACTTAAAACTTCCACAACTTTTTCAAAAATGAACAAATAAAAATAATATTTTTTTGTATTAAAACCTTAGATATTTCCCTATCATTTGATATAATTTTTTTTGAAAATCTAACACTTATTTTGCTCACTGGGGGGATTTAAAATAGTAACTTTTTTACAAAAAATAACTTTTTCAACTTAATTTTTGAAAATGTTCCGGAAATATTGCGTCCTTTAAACATATATCAAATTAAAGCTTATTTTATGTACTATAAAATGAAAAAGAAAATTTGTCCTGACGATCTATCTTCTATGCGCAAATGGCTACCATATTCAAAAATATGCTATTTTAACAAATTTTTTTTTTAAATCAAACACTATCTACAGATTTGCATTGAAGCGTTTTTTATGATAGTGATTTTAATCACTGTCAGATATCATCTATACTGGACCCAACTATGCCACGACCCCACTGTGCTGCCACCCCACTGTGCTACCGTTTTTTTTTTTTGTATTAAAGTATATTATATAAGCTTTAATTTAATATATATATATATATATAAGTGTCATAATTTCCGGAACACATTAAAAAATTAAGTTAAAAAAGTTCTTTTTTCTATATGCTTTTTAAGTTTTGAACCCCTCTGTATAAAGGATAAATGGTCTGATTAAAAAAAAAAAACTATTAATAGTTTTAATAGTATTAATTTTGATGTCCGTTTACACCATAAAAACAAAATAATATCCGAATTTTTTTTTTTTAATATTTAAGTATATTACATAAGCTTTAATTTAAGGTATATATAAATATTTTAGTATTTCTAATTTTTTGTGAAAAAGTTGTCATTTTGAATCCCCTCCTATGGGCAAGTAAAGGGTTAGATTTATAAAAAAAGTATACAAAATGATCAACAACTCCTATGTCCTTAATTATATCCTGATTAGTAGTTCTTATTAAGAAGTGTTACCGTCTTGGCAACCATACGTCACATTTCTTCGATGGATAAAAAGAGCAATTTAAGCTAGTTCAAATTTCAAAGTTATTTTCCTTGAGTTAAAAGAAGCAAAAAAAATTAATTAAGTTTAACTTTCTATGCTATATCGATTAGATTTATACAATATTTATGAAAATCAGTGTACTCCTTTTGTAAGGTATTTTAAAATAAAATACAAAACCGAAAATTTTAAAACAATGATAGCATATTTTTGAATACGATAGCAATTTTCATCATGAAGACAACGTAGAGTTCAAAATTTATTTTTTCATATTAAAGTATTTTACATAAGCTTTAATTTAAGATATGTATTTAAGTGTGTACGTCACAAATTCAAACGTGAACCATTTATAAATTTTTGTTATGTCGACTTATTTTTTATTTAATTGGGCGACAGAACCTTTTTCTGACAGCAGTGTCAACAACTCACTATTTTGCCACTCACCGCTAGATAAGGCGACAAAAGAGAATAAATATAATTAAAATCGAATTATTTATGAGTATTGATCTCTCCCAAATAGACTGGCTGTTATCGATTTGAAATTGTCATTAGATCGGTGTTGGCTCTTAATTCTTCTTCTGTCATTGACTGCGCTAGAGTGTACATGTTTGTTGTCTTATTGTCACTTTTTTCAATGATGGAGTAAAGATTTTTTCGGCGAAGCATCCAGATAATCGGATGGGTCTCTTCGGTGGCAAGGTATAGTTTTCTGTTTTATAATTATATTTATGTGATGAGCTATATTTTATTTCAATTTTTTTTATTTTGAATTAACTTATTTTTGTTTATGTGTGGAGAGCACGTGTTTCCCTTTTCTTCTAGCCAACGCTAAGGAGCGAGTGTCCAGACTATTCCTGATTTTTTTCATTAATTTTCGATTAACATTAACGAATGTGTTCCAATACCGTCCGTGATGTTCGTAATATTATTTGTTTAAATATTTTATTTTATTTTTATTGCCTTTAATTATAGACATGGTTTTTGATACATTCGTATTTTTTCCATGTTTATCATAATTTTCTTTTTTAACAATTAAATTAAATTTTCTTATTAATTTTAACTGTGATATTTATTTTATTGCACGAGTAATTGAAGTACTCGCGTGTATTTTATATCCCTGTTCCTTAATTTAGACACGGGCTACGGTATGTTTTACTTATCAACTTTAATTATCATAGTTGTGGTTAATAAACAACGAGGTATTATAATCATTTATACAAATAACGACATATTGACTTAAATTATACTTTTAATTAACTTAAAATATTAAAATCCACCTATGGTCCGGTAATCATATCTGATAGGTGTGACACCTTGCATAGGTAATGGTGACCCTTGCTACCATAGCTAGTCGTTATGCAAGTGGCAAACTACGTTGTTGTTACAGGCCGATAAAAAGCTCACTTGCAAGTATCAGTATTTCCGAAACATTAGCGTGTTTCAAGTTTTAACGCCTGCTGTATGAAGGGAAATTATCCGATTTAAAAATAAAATTATATCGGATGCAATATGTATATAGAAAGTATTTATACAAAAAAATTATATTGATCCATACATATATTGATTATTCAAAAATGTATAGCATTATAAAGTTAAAAATATAAAATCGAGAATTTTAACACAAAAATAGTATACGGTAGCCATTTTAACCATGAAGACAAAATAAAATTCGAAATTTCTTTTTTTCATATTAAATTTAATTACATAAGCTTTAATTTAAGATATTGAAATATCTTAATAATAGATTTTCGGAAGACTTTCAAAAGTAAAGTTGAAAAAGTTAATTTTTTTGTAAAAAAGTGGCCATTTAAAACACTTCTTGTGGGCAGGTAATGTTCAAATTTTCACAAAAAATATACTAAATGATATGTAAATACCTAATGTATTTATAAAAAAAATTGTTTCTATAAGTCTATTTTTCAATAAGTAATGGCAGTTTTAATTAAAAATGATTGAAAAAATGTTGAATATTACCGATTTTTAGCTTCGATGCGTAGCTGAGATTTGTAATACATAATTCAATAATCCAGGCGCACAAGTATATTAAAATATCACAAATTTACAATAAACCGAACTAATTGTGGTGATATGAAAAGTATTAGCGCTATCGTAAACAAACGTTATATTAGACACCCTTATTTAATTGGGCTGCCGTTTATTTACACTAACGACTATATGTCTATATATGTATATACATGTATCGATATCACACAATCCACGCCAAAAATAATTTTAGAAGCGAAGACGTAAAACTTAAATGGAGAAAATGCAAAGAACTTACGTGTAAAAAAAAACAAAATATCGAACTAACCAGTCGAGGTTAACATCGGAAAACAACAGAACGCAATATCAGTACTTCATATTTAGCGGCGGCCTTGTCACGGAGAAATACCCGATGACAACCTATTTTCCTATTAGTAGCTGGACGGTTGATATTAAGAGAGACACGGGTTGCTGTGTCAACTCCCCTCCCCAAGCCGTCAGTTTATTTATGACCCGGGCGGTATTTGTAAACAAATTGTCGCATCATACATAGTAGTTATAAACAATTGTAACTTACCACCATGTGCCTTGTGTGTGGATGATCATTGATATTGCGTTTGACACTTACCGTATAAGACTGAAATAATCAGTCTCCTTGGCAAGGGATAGTGCACTATTCGGTCCGGTCATCCGAAACCTACGGATGACGTAAGGTCCGAGAAGATAAAGGAGGGATTGCCTCCTTCCCCGATTACTCGGGGCGAAGGTTTTCAGGAGGCCAGAGCCCGCCCCGGAAGACGTGCTCGCCACGTCGGACGCTCTGTCATTGGCGTAGGGTGCAGGAATGGGACGGTCAGCTGTCCGACGCCGTCAGCCCGCCGGTCGCTGCACCACCGCGGTAGTGGTAGCTGGGCGCTGTGGAGAGGAGGTAGCACCTTCTCCTGGCACAGGCTACGGGACCACCAGCACGATGGCGAGGACCCTCCATGTCACGCGTAGGGTAGCTACCTGTCCGTCCCTCATCCCACGATTGTAAAAGACGCTCGCTATAGGATCCCGAAGGATCTGGTGTAGCGGAGCGTC